GTGCTGAACTGCAAATAATCAAAAACGTATGCCAGAGCTTCCAATCCCCATGCAACTGTGCTGGAGGCGGAGAGTGGGAGAGGAACTGACAAGTCCAAGGCTGATTCATGTAACTGCAAACCACAGTTTATACCTTGAATTAGGCCAGCGTAAGCAATAAAGAAGGACTTGAGAGGGAAACGCTCATCTCCCCTTTTAAAATTTTCTTGCACAATATTGATCCTATAGAAATGTAGGGCAGGAAGAGACTTTAAGATCTTCCAGCCCAGCCGCTGTTCACTAAAATTAATTAATTAATCTCAATGAAACATATAAATCAATATAATTCAGATTGGAAAGTCTCACATACTGAGAGTCTAATACATGGGTCCTCAAACTATGGCCCGGGGGCTGGATCCGGCCTGCCATGCCCCTTTCGATCCACTGTGCATGCGGTTTGCTTCAAGCAAGAAAACGATCTCCAAGCGAGAAAATCTCCAAGCGAGCAAGCTGCTGCCTCATGCACCCACCTAGCGGCACGTGCCCACCCGCGCCTCACCTTGCCTCACCTTGTTTTGCCCCTCACCCCGCGCCAGCCCGCGCACACCGCCGGCACCACATTTCTGGCCCACGCCCAGCACCGGCAGCTTTCAACTGGCCCCTGGTGGAAAAGTTTGAGAAGCCCTGATCTAATAGGTGTCTATCAGTCAGATTAAGGAATATTGTTACTAAAACACCGAGCTATCTTTTGTTGCATTAGGAATATTTGCTGTGGTTCTTTCTTAAGCATCATTTCTTCCAAAGGAAGATGCATTGGTATAGTAATTTGCACATAAGAGTTCTAAATCACATTAGAAGTTTCAGTGATTGGAAGAGTGCTGTGTAATAAAGCTTGCAGAAGCTACAAGGTCCCTATATATGACTGACAATAGCAAGAACAGTTTTATAAATACTGGACATTGTGTAAAGATATATTTCCCTGCATCTCTATTACAGTTTGAAGGGCGAAAGTATTGTGAACATGATTTCCAGATGCTTTTTGCACCCTGCTGTGGGGAATGTGGTAAGTTCTCCAAGTTCAAATACTTGAGCCATATCTTTGTGTGTATGTGGAGAGGGAGAGATACTAAGATGAAAAATGTACTGATGATGCACTGAGCAGAGGGATTAGACCAAATCTGGCCTTTCTAGTGTTGTAAAAATCTTAGGGGATGGCTCCTAATAGGACCGGGGGCACCTGCAGCCCAGAAGTCGTGTGTTTTCCATTCCTGTTCTAAGCAAAAGGTTTCTGAGATTCAGAACCTACCAAGATAATCTTTTGTGGTTCAGTGGAGGCAATATGGGTGCTGCATCTCGAAAATTTAGATCTGACTCTGTTGGCAGCCATCAGCACGTTACTCTCACTGGGCCTATTTCTCATCTGTAAAATAAGGACAAGAGTTGCCAATCACAGTGTATTGTTTCTATTGCAAGGTGAATTCATCATTGGCCGTGTTATCAAGGCAATGAACAATAACTGGCACCCAGAATGTTTTCGTTGTGAGCTTTGTAATGTGGCTCTTGCTGATTTGGGTTTTGTGAAGAATGCTGGCAGGTAAGAATGGACAGGGGGCATGAACATGAAAAAATTCTGGGGTTTTTAAAGAATGGGGTGATGCAGTTTGACTCTCCAGTGAGGCACTCTTTGTTTGAAAGAATCACTTCTTATGGTGAAGGGGAGTTCGAGGTTGAGAATCAGAAAGAGCACACATTGAAGAAATGCACATATGAGCACAGAGACTGAACAATTGCTACTGTATACACAGACCTTCTCTTAAAGCACTGACTGTGTTTTTCAAATGCACATTAATCTCTCACATGATGGTTTTAGCATGTGAACGGTGAGTTGCATATGTTGAGTGAGTAAAATGATAAGTAGCCTTCTGAGATAAGTCAGGAAGAGACCTTGTATCTGAAGCTGGCTCTTAAATGCATTGTGGAATAGATGTTGTCAGAAAGAATAGGCAAGTATTGAATGAAAAGGTAATATCTAGAGAAGGAATTAAAAGAGAGCCATTCTTAAAACTGTTCAAAAGATTTTGTACAAGATGCAGTGAGAGAGAGAACACATAAACATGAAGATGTAGTCAAGTTCACTTACCAGTAGCAGATTGATAGGCAGAATATTTGCTTAAAATTAAGATATATTCTCTCTTTGAATTTATGTATTTTAGATATGTGAAAAATATAAACAAGTTTTTAAAGAAAGCATAAAATCAATGAAGTAAAAATAGAAAGAGTGACTTATATCATATCTTAGCTTTAGGCTTTCCTGCATCTGATCTCTATCTGGAAGTTGCGTTCACATTCTCACCTCCTGGAGTGACCTATGAGTGGAAAGAATCATTTATTTGTTCATAACATGAACCTTCACAAACAACTTTTTAATATATATTTTCCATGTAGTAGAACTAGTAGAATGAAGACTATTAAAAGAAGGTAAACATGTTGTAATTTGTGTCCCAGGGTTTTTAGTTACACTAAATTGTGGTCAAGATTCTATAGTTGGATGCTAAGTTGCATAAGCATAATGTGACAGATAAACATTTAGTGTTTTTCTCCCAAATACTATGAGGAACAGAAATTCAAAACAACTGATTTTTTGTGTGTGTAGCATATAAAATTTGGAATATGCAGAGAACAAAAAAAAGTGCCAGAATTGCAGCAGGAGATATTATTGATGCAGTGGGCAGATGTACTGATGTTGTTGCTCAGGTGTGAGGATCATTGCCTTGCAGAGATGGTAGGTACAGGCTGCATTAAATCACAGGCAACGCCATAAAAAAGGTGACATGGCAAATGGTTAACTGAACACATTTAGCTGCAGCAAAGCTCCCTAGAAACCTTTTGAGTCATGTATGACTGAGAGGCAATTCATTAATTATATACAGTCACATAAAAACAGACACAGAATATAATTTTTGTTCAGAACATGTTATTGAAAATAATACCTGCAATGAAGACCCTAACAAATAAGAGCTCTAGGGTGCCTTTTTAGACAGAAACAATTCCTACCACTCCTATGTTATAGGCAAGCCTTCTGACAAAACATCCAAAGGATTGTACCTTTAAATTGTGACATAGCATTTATGGTATATAAGGGGAAAAAATGACAGAGACAATTATTTCTACAACATGGAGAATCAAAATATTCTCTCTTTCTTGTAGCTGTGGTAAAGTTACCATAACTTATTGTGACACATCAGAATCAACATTCACAATGTTCTTGGAGCAATATATACCTAGCTATTGAATACATTTTTAAAATTTGGTCAGTTTTGAACTGCAAAATTGGGCAATTTAGTTAAATTTCTAGTCTTTCTAGAATGCCAAAATTAGAATCAGAGGATAAGCTGTGGATGTCAGGATAGCTGTATCCTAGCTGTGTAGTCTACTTGTTAGATATCTGAAAGGACTAACATTTTTCAATGCAAAATTATTTTATGAAGTAATTGCAGTATTTAGTACTTGTATTATTTTTTAATCTCCAGTTATTCCATTATTTGTATTAAGACCAGACAAGGAGAAGCGCAGCTGTATTGTAGTATATCGTCCACTGTGAATTAGTACTTACTGGTGGATGCTTTGAACAAAGGCTATTAAAGTAGTGCTGACCCCTATATTCGGAGGGAATCTTGATGGAGTAGAAGTGTCTCAGTGGCAAAGAAGAATTCTTGGAGATACAGGTGGAGGATATCTGCCCTGGAGGCCACAGTATGGTTATAGAGGGCTCTACAGCAATCGATTTACCATCAGTGGTAGTCACAGCATTCCTGTGCAGGCAGGGACAGCCTTGAATTCACTGGATCCAAAGCTCTCCATTCCCTGAGAGGTCCCAGAATTGGGCACCTCAGTTCCAATTGAAACCAGTGGGGGAGATTGTTTGAAACTAAGAAGCACTGGAACAAAGAGGTGGAAAATAGGTGGGGCATCTTCTTCAGAAGTGACAAATCATCCACCACTGTTCTCCCCGTTAGCGCTTGTCTTTTCCTTTGTTTTCTCAGAAATGAAGCATGAGATCTGCCTGTACAGCTCTGTAAAGAAACACTACTTGGTTGTTTGGGGGACTTAATAACACTGCATAATAACACTTGTTTTCTTATATTTACAGTTCAGATTTAGCACTTAAGGAACTGTCATTTGTTTTCCCTTCACAACTTGAAGTTAGCCTTGCAGCCCGTTTGCTGCAAAACAAACCACACAAAGCTTCACGGAACTTCTCAGCAACAAAAAAATACATGACAGGATCTAGTGCACCATTTAAGCTGGTGAGGCAAGAAGTAATGCGATTGCCAAGAGCCAGGATCCGCTGCATTTCACAAGAAGTCTTCACGCCATCATAATTGAGGATATAAATGTAGCGGTTGATATGATAGGGCACAAAGCAGACCAAGAAGATCATAAGAACCATGATTATCATCTTGATGGCCTTTTCTTTTAGATGATTCTCAATTCGGTTCCCTCTCTTCAGGCTTCTAATGATCAATAAGTAGCAAGTGACAGTAGTGAAAAATGGAAGGGTAAATGCCACAGCTAGTGACACAAGAGCATGGCGAGAAGCCTTCTCTCTATAGAGCTGCAGGCAGATGGTGGTGTTGTTCATTTCTGCTGTCTGTACACTGACCAAAAGAGGGGCCATAGCCACAGCAACTATAACCCACAAGAAAGCACAGGCCAAGTGGGCATAGAGTGACCTGCGGAGTTTGAGAGACTTCACAGGGTGTACAATGGCTAGGAAGCGGTCTATGCTGATGCACATGAGGAAGTAGATGCTGGCATACATGTTGAGGTAGAAAAGGAAGCCTGTGAGTCGGCACGGGATCTCTCCAAATGGCCAGTGATTGCCTGAAAAGTGGTATACCAACCGGGTTGGTAAAACTAGCACAAAAGACAGATCGGCCACAGCAAGATGCATCAGGAAGATGTTGGCTGGGGTGTCTGACTTTTGGTCCCGAATAAAAAGCCAAAGAGCCAGGGCATTGCCAACAAAGGCTAGCATGAAATCCACCAGGTAGAAAGTAGCAAAAAGGACATTTTCCATATGGGTCTCCTTGCCACATTGTTCTGAACTTTCCAGGGAAGTGTTGGAGAAGAGACCTGAAGCATCTGCCTGACTGTTCATTCTTCACTGTAGCTTGTGAAACCTGAAATAATCAAGAAAAATAAAAAACTAGGGAAGAATGTTATAGTGCCAAGGAGGCAACATGGAAAATAGCCAGGCCTGCTGTTTGCTTATATTTCTGAGGATTACTGGCAAGGATGCAAAGTAGTATGTTTTGTGTTTTGTATACCTGGGGATGCTTTTCACTTTTGGAACCCACCAACTCTTCAAGTTAGCACTCCTTGAAGTGAAAAGGGAGGTTGCCAGCAGGACATATATCCTAAATTTTACGCCTGTTCACAATTGCATGCATGCATACACAAGCCTTTCTGGATCCTGGCCACTTTCTCTATAATCTATCTATGCCTTGGGTGGGCTGAATGTTACAAAAACACGCAGAGGAGATTGCAATGGGGAAAAATGAAAAGCCTGTGGTCTTTAATCATCCTAGCCTGAATAACAGAGGTATTATGCAGACTGAGGGCAGCATTCAGTTGGACACAAAAATTAATACAAATCATGTTTTGCCAGCATAAGGGACCTCTAACTTGGAATTCTTTGAAAAACTGGCATGCTAACCAAAGCTATATTGGCATTGTGATATAGGTTTCTTATGCAAGCATCATATAATTGTCATTAGTGAGAGTATCCAACTGAATTCTGCTCATTGACTGAAATCTTAAATTCACTTACTGGAGAGTAAGACATGTTGGCCTTTAGATTTCTGATTAAATGCACTTCAAATTTCACTATTAGTTCACCTCTGCCATGCCTGTACAAAATAAACCCTGGTTTCTATAAAGTATTCTGAGATAAATAAGCAGTGGTTGCTTGCCTTTGAAAAAACTGAAAGCCAAATGTCATTTGGATCAAACTTTGGCACTAATCCATACCCACAAATCCTTTGTAATAGCATGATGTGTCATTCCTTCATTTGACCACAGAGTGCTCTCTAGTAAAGCATTTCAAAAAGAGAGGAAATAAGGGATTGCCTTCCCCACCTCAAAGAATTCATCCTTTCTTGCACCCTTTTGTATTTTAATCAGGCTTGAACAAACACTCTTGAGTAGATTGTGCCCCAAAGTTTTTCATATGCACCAGGTTGCCTATTATTTTTATTCAGCTTTCAAGGCTGCCCAGAGGAAAGAACATTGCCCTACAAAATACTAAAGAAAACCTGGTTAATTATGTTTCCTCAGAGTTGCAAGAATTCATTCCTCGTGTTTCATAGTTACATTTTGATGGCTGACATGAAATCAAGGTGCACACTTGCATCCTACTCACAGTCGTGCATAATTCACTGATTAATTCACACTAACTTTTCAGCATCAGAATGCTTCCTACACTGTGTTATATGCTTCCTTTAGCAAGTGTCCTTGGCACAATTAACTGACACTCATTGGGATCCTGCTAACCATTTACACACTATTCATATTTTCAAGTTTCATTAACATCATGAAGAATATGTAGCAATACTTTCCTTAATATATTGATTTAAATAGATTGCACAATGGACTCATTGTATATTTTAGTACTGAACACAACATTATAATCAAAATGGTTGGCACATGGAGGCAGCTTAACCTGGCATTTGTCCAGAGGCTGCCTCAATGCTGTGGCCTGGAGAAATCAACTTCCATGAGGCTGCCACAGTCTGAATGTATCGCAACAGGGGAAAAACTGCTGAATTGGAACAGTTCTTCACTGCTTACCATTTCAAACAGCCTCCCTATAGTGCCATGTCATGTGAAGTGAACCTTCCTCAAAGTTTTTTGGAAACTGTTATCCCTACACACCTTACTAAAACATTCACAATGTAGTTCTGGTCTTCCCATCTCTCTAAGATGGAGGAATGTCCATAGAAGAGGCTTGAAAAGCAATTTCTCTTATGTCTTTCACTAACACATTACTGCAGTTTTTTAAAAAGAATATAAGCTATTTAAAACTTTTATGCTTTTGGAAAAAACTTTGTTATTGGTAGTTGAACCTTAAATTGTACAATTTAAAATCTCAGAATCATTAAACAGGTTATTGACTTGCCAAATTCTCTTGGACTGTGTTACTAGTGCAATTGTTCCAAGAGATCTTGCTGGGTTATACTTGTTTTTCAGTTGGCAGCAATCCATAACATTGATGATAAGTGCAACTTTGCACCCAACTTCCAGCTTAAATTGCGTTCTGTGCATTAAGCTGGTGTGGGGTTCAGTCATATTATGTGTCCGATTGTTACAGATAGTTATGGTTTTCACAAAGTCTTGATGCTTTTACAAGCATTCTATAATGTGCTTAATCAGCTAAATGCATTCATTTACTGGAAAGGTTTCTATTTCTATATTTAGGTGGCTTTACAATAAATTAAAGGCAACCTCAAAGCATTATTATTAGGTCCCCTGGAATCTCTTAGCTTCTGAGATCAAGGGAGTTCTGGTTGGGAAAAACAGGCTTATTTTAAAATCATAATGGTAAGAACATTTTATCAACAGGAGAAATCCCAGATCTGAAATGAGAGACAAAAGTTCACTGGAGGAGCATGAATAGTTTGTCACGTGCATTTTGTGCTTGTTTAGCTTCCATTTATTAGAGCATTTTCACATACATTGCAAAAAAAATTGAGCATCATTGAGCATCATAAATTGCAAAAAAATTGAGCATCATGTACTTGTATAAAAGTTGTTCATGAAGAGTAGAATGCAAAAGAAAATTGGTATGTTCTGTGGATTTTATATTTACTTTACAGACCAATTTAAGTATAAATTTCTGATATGAAAATGCTCTTTCATTGTATGCAAGCTGGTCTTTCTATATATCTTCCAGCATATAACCTGCAAACACCAGAAATTTTATGTGCCTCTGAGACATTTTCTAGTGCAGTGCTTATCTTCCCCTTTGAAACCAAAGTTCTTACCTCTTGCAGCCTGCAGTCCTATAGGAGCAAAGGGTAAACCTCTTCTTGGCTTCTCAGGATGGCAGCAAAAGTAGGAAAGACAGCAAGGCTGAAAACTGTGTGCTGATGTAGAAGATGCAAACAGTGGTATATTCTGTGGAAGAAAGAATCTGCAGTATATAGAGCCCTGCTAGTGGTGATAGTCCATTATCATCTTGCTCACATGGGAGGAGAATAGATAACACACTTGTTGTGAAAGACGGTTTTCATTCCTGCAGAGCTCTTGGAAGGGGGAGTCGCTGTGGTATTTAAGAATATTCCAATGTTTGTCCTGATCATTCAAGTATCTCTGAACCTCTGCTTTTTGCACTGTCTTTGGAGCCCTCTGACCATCGTAGAGGGCTTGGAGGGAGTTGCAGAAAGGGAGGGGAAATTTGGTGTCAGGAACACAACAGGACATTTCAGAAGGGGATAATTCTATAGTGGTGGGAGTGGGGGTGAGAGGGCTGGCTGCCATAGTAACAGCTCTGTGGTTCTAAGGCCTCCCTTTGCTTGCCGTGGAGGAGGGTCTATAGGATGCTAAGGGGGACAGGCTTCTAAATGAGCCAGGGTGATAATAGTTTGTCAGTGGAAAGGGCTGAAGGCTGCTTATTCAGTTGAATGAGAGTGGTCTCTTTTTAGGACACTTGCTATAGGGTCTCAGTGCCCTGTATAATTAGACTCCATTCCACAGTGTGGAATAAAATTGATGCCTTTATCCTGCAAGGCACACAGCTGCGTGCTCCCATTGATAAAGGCATGCTGTCTGCTTTCTTGCTAGGAACTGTGGCTGCAGTATCTTCAGCTCTCGGGTGGAACAGAGGAGAAGACTTGTGAAAAGGGAGTGTTAATAACATTCCTTTCCACTTATGCTCATGGGGCTTTCTGTCTGGGGTTTGTGATATAGTTCCACACAGTAGCCTTGTGGCATTGAGATTTATTATTAGCTTCATTTTTCTGGTAAGGCCCTGGAGCCTAAATGACCTGCCCAGATTGGCAGGTCTGTGAGACTGCCTGGAACAAGATCCAGGTCTCTTGGCTGCTTGTCAATATGAATCTACCAATTCTTCTCTATCTGCGTGCACCCAGCTCTGCAGATAAAGAAAGCTGAATAGATTACGAGATTTCATGTAAGCAAATTGCATTGCATACATTAAATTCAGAAATGTAAACTCATGCCATTGTGTGTACTTGTAAGAGGTATATTTGATCATTTCTGTTGCTCCTCCCCTTTTTTGGGACAATTGGCACTAAGGAAGTATGAGCAGGAGAACCAAAACTGAACATATTTCTTAGAAATCTTGATTTTTGCCAGGACCAGTTTAACATTAGTACCATTCACGTAATCTTAAGCACTCTTTTCTCTGAGCAAACCCCAAGGACTACAATGAGACATGTTTATGAGTTAACACTTGTTGCTTTTGGTGCCTGTTCTGTGGTCCAACATTCTTCCATCCAGACTTTGAATGATGCCTCCCAACTTTCCCCTTTCTTTCCAACTGCACTCTAGGCACCTCTGTAGAACGTGCCATAATCGTGAGAAAGCCAAGGGCCTGGGCAAGTACATTTGCCAGAAATGCCACTTGATCATTGATGAGCAGCCCCTGATGTTCAGGAATGACTCCTATCATCCGGATCATTTCAACTGCACCCACTGTGGGTATGTTGGTTGGCTACCAGCTAGGACCAAGGAACACATGAAAAGATGTAAAATAGATGGGCATTTGGGGACTCAGTGATCTTCCAAATAAACATTACTGCCTTCAAGCAGATGTACAAAAAAGTTCTGTATGTTGAGGATTAAAGAGCCTCTGAATCAGAGTTGCTGCAGTGATTCTGCTAAGCTGTTTTAGACTTCCTCTGCATTAGTGAATTCTTCAGCTGGAACTGTTCTGGCTGAGCTTGAACAGCTCTTTAAGGATCCAGTTTTGAAGGCTCTGGCTTTCAAAAATAACTGTATCGTGACTTAGTGGAGGTTTGATACACACCATAATATACAGACTTAAATTTTCTGCCATTTCTGGTCTGCTTATCTAAATAGGTTTGCCATTCTAAAATATTTTTCCTCAAAGTATATGTCATAACTATGTTATGCAACATGAGGCAAAGGACATCAAAGAAAATACGCTTGTATTTCATTTTTCCCCTTTTGAGCATTTATCTTTTTTCCTCTTTGGCAGATGCACAGAAGAATGTCAGGTTTAGTGGCTGTTTGCATGTAGCACTGGAGGCAGGTTTTCCTCTGAAGGCCTTGTTTTTGTGCTGTTGTATGCAGGAAGGAGCTAACTGCTGATGCCAGGGAACTGAAGGGGGAGCTGTACTGCCTGCCATGCCATGACAAGATGGGCATCCCCATCTGCGGGGCCTGCCGCAGGCCCATTGAGGGTCGCGTGGTCAATGCTCTGGGAAAACAATGGCACGTGGAGGTGAGAACGTCCCTATTGTGCTGCTTATTGCAGATTTCATGTTGCACAGTGCCAAATGTTGACACGTTTTGCTTGTTTTCCAGATTAATGGGCAGATATTTGAACTGTTAGGTGCATGCTACTGCTTCATTATTATTATTTTGTATTTGTATGCATTTTAATTGTAAACCCCAATTGTATGTGTTTTAACGTTCTGAGCTGCTTTAAGTCTCAATCACTGGGAAGAGGCAAGATATAAATGAATATAATAACCATAACAATAATACAGTGATTGCAGAGAAGGTCCATTTGTCCATGGAGACCCTTATGCAACTGGCACCTCAGTATGAGGCAGGCTTGCCCCTTCCAAGCTGCAGCAGCTGCTGTGAATTGGCCCAGTTGGCATTCTACATTCTACTGCTGATACTGGGAATTAACACTAAAATGGGGTTGTGGAGTACATAATCTCTGTTTCTTCCCCACCAATTTATCTATTCTATGAAAAGAAAGAGAACCCTTTGTTGGAGTCAACTTTGCCAGTAGCATAGCATAGAAAATAGTTGAGACATTATTACCACAATACCGGCAAGCCTTTTTTGGACCCCTGATGTTTAGCCCTGCGTTATTTGTAAGCACCCATATTTCCATAATGTTATCTTCTTTATAGGGTTCACTGTGTTTTAAAGGTTTTCATATACTGTGCTTAGTACGGGTTTGATCACACTCCCTTCCTCTAACACAGACCCTTTGACCAAAGATGTCCTTATACTTACAGCACTTTGTTTGTGCCAAATGTGAGAAACCATTCCTGGGACACCGGCACTATGAGAAAAAGGGACTGGCATACTGCGAGACACATTACAATCAGGTAAAGTGTGTTGTCCTTTGTACAATGTACTTTCCTTTTTGACAAAGAGAACAGCAGAAGAAAGGTTTTGAGAAATGCCTGCTTTTCTAATGGAAAGAGAGTAAACACATACAAATATGTGGTATGGAAAATTACAGACTTAACTATCTCAGTAGATACGGCTAGGGATGCTGCTGAAACCAATTGGTATAGTCATGCAAATTAAGGTGCCTCCAGCAAACCTTAATCATAAATAACAATTCTTAAGTTTGGGGCTGAATGGAGAGGGAGAGCTGCACTGCCAAGACTTTTGTAGCTGGAATGAGATGGAATCTGAGGGGTGGGGTGGGGTGAGGGGTTCTGCACAAGTTGCTTTCTTGTCTAGCACAGGCTGTGCTGTCTACTGATAGGAGCACTTGCTTTTTCACTGTGCTCTGCCTTTCTATTTAGAGCAAATATTTCAAAGCCTTCATAAGCCTCCAGTGTTCTTTTGTCCAAACCCAGTTCAGGCTGTGGGGAACATGTCTTACGTGCTTCAGTGAGCTTCCAGAATCATGCAGTCTCCTATGTATATGGGGTGTGCCTGCACTGAAAAACCAGGGGTCATAAGGATCCTGTGGAATGGGAGGGCGGGCTGTGGGTCTCTGTCCATGAAGCCCACAAGTATTTTGAGGCCTCCCCTTCCTTTGCTGGGGCGCACACACACACGTCTCTCCTGCTTTCACCTCACCCTGAGCAACCTCTTCCGAGAGAATCTACAGAGCTGTATTTAAAACAACCATTGAGATACCCTTATTTACTGGAAGCTGCTTTCCTATTGTCTGCAGGATGTAGCAGTTTTTTACTCCACCACATTTCTGTGTCTGCCAGCAATGTACAGACTTTGTGAAATCTTTTCCATCTTCTGCATTTTGTGAATTGTCAAGCACTTTTTGTTGCATTATCCACTCACCGATGGAATTGGATTTTGTACAAATGCGTTCATATGCACACATGCAGATTTGCAGTTTTACAGTTTAGTTTGCAGGAGGGGGAACGTGTGTTTTCAGCGGTTGCACATTTCTTCGTATAACTAAATTTGTGTAAAATCATGGAAAGTTAAAAAAAAAAAAACCAAAACCAGTCCCTAAGTCTGTGAAATCCATATGACTTGGGAAAAGTTGATCCACTGCAGAATGCATGGATCGCATTTATAGAAATCTGAACTTGCTAGTCCCTGATTTTAGCCCCTTTCTTTCCTCCATAGTGGTTATTGAGAAAGCAAATAAGCCCTTCTGGTGGCAGACTTTGCTACTGCAGTGGTACCTCAGCTCACGAATGCCTTGGTTCACGAACAAAGCGGGTCACGAACAAAAATTTCTGAAAAATTTTGACTTGGATCGCGAACACTGCTTTGGGTGGTGACCAAGATTGCAGCCATCTTCCCCCTGCCCCCCGAGTGGGGAGATGGCCACGATCGCAGTTTCTTTCGTGCAGGGAAGGCGTTTGTGATCAGAGGCGCGTTGCTGCAGGAAAGATGGGAGCAGAGCAGAGCCATGGGGGAGATGGCCGAGATTCCGCCTGTCTTTCCTGCAGCAGCGTGCCTCTGATCAGGCACACCTTCCCTGCACGAAAGCAACTGTGATCATGGCCATCTCCCCACTCGGGGGAGGTGGAAAGATGGCCACAATCATGCTGGTTGCGTGGGGAGGGGGGAAGATAGCTGAGATTGTGCCCGTCTTTCCTGCAGGAGTGCGACTGGGATCTTGGCCATCTCCTGACCCGCATCCTGAGCACATGCGGCCATCTTCCCCACACAATCGCGAGAGCGGCCATCTCCCCCCTCCCACACACACACACACAGGTGTGGCCATCTTCCCCACTTGCAGTGGCAGACAGACCTGAGGTCACTTGCTGAAAAGCTGATTGAATAATGGCTCCCAACAAAGCGCAGAGCAAGCACTGTGGTAAAATGAATGTGCAGAGTGGTAATGAAGGTGACCGGAATGTGCAGAGCAAGAATGGTAAAAGGAAGGTTTCAAAGAAAATAACCATTGAATTGAAGAAGGAAATTGTAGGAAGGCATGAGTGTGGTATTCAGGTGACTGATCTGGCCTCTGAGTACAAGATGGCAAAGTCAACAATTTCAACTATTTTAAAGTGTAAGATGCCATCAAAGGAGCTAATCTGGCAAAAGGAGTAACTCTGTTTAGCAAGCAGAGGACTCAAGTGCTGGAGAAGGTGGAAAAACTTTTGTTAGTGTGGTTGAATGAGAAACAGCTGGCAGGTGACAGCATTAGTGAAGCTATGATCTGTGAAAAAGCCAGGAAATTGCAGTGATTTACTGCAAAAAACCCCTCTACAAGTGCAGCAAGTGTTGAATTTAAAGCCAGTAGAGGGTGGTTTGATAATTTCCGCAAAAGAAGTGGCATCCACAGTGTGATAAGACACGGTGAGGCTTCCAGTTCTGACAAGGCTGCTGCAGAAGCCTTCAAGAAAGAATTCGCTGAATTCATGAAGGCAGAAGGACATCGCTCAACAAGTGTTCAACTGCGATGAAGCAGGGCTCTTCTGGAAGAAGATGCCGAACAGAACCTACATCACGCAGGAAGAAAAGGCACTGCCGGGGCACAAGCCCATGAAGTTCAGATTGACCCTTCTGCTGTGAGCGAATGCAAGCGCCGATCTGAAGATGAAGCCACTACTGATGTGCCATTCCCAGACCCCTCATGCATTCAAGGAACAGAATGTGAACAAGGCCAGACTGCCTGTCATGTGGTGGGCCAATGCGAGGGCTTGGGTCACAAGGAAATTGTTCATGGAATGGCTGCACGAAGTGTTTGCACCCACCGTTCAGAAATATGTTTCTGACAGCCAACTGCCTGAAAGGTGCCTTCTTCTAATGGACAACGCCCCGGCACACCCTCCAGCCTTGGTGGATGATATGGATGCCGAGTATGACTTCATAAAGGTCAAGTTCCTCCCCCACAACACGACAGCTCTTCTGCAACCCATGAACCAGCAAGTGATCTGCAACTTCAAGAAGCTCTACACAAAGGCGCTCTTCAGCAGGTGTTTTAATGTCACTGAAGAGACGTCCTTGACTCTGAAAGAATTCTGGAAGAAACATTTCAATGTCCTCCACTGCATCAACCTCATTGACAAAGCCTGGGAAGATGTCACGTACTGGACCTTAAACTCAGCCTGGAAGACACTGTGGCCAGAATGCATCACTGAATGTGACTCTGAAGGGTCTGATGCAGAGGCAGTGGAGGAGATTGCGTCCCTGGGCAAGAGTATGGGTCTGGACCTCAGTGGTGCAGACATAGAGAAGCTGGTTGAGGACCATAAGGAGGAGCTGATGACAGAAGAACTTGCTGAACTCCAGAGTGAGCTGCAGAAGGCACTTGCTGAGGAGGATTCCACCGAGGAAGAGGAAGACAGGGAGGAGGTTAGCAGTGATGTGATACAATCCATTATGAAAAAATGAAAAGAGTGCCAGGATTTCTTTGAGAAGCACCACCCCAACAGAACTGTAATGAACAGAATGTTGAATCTGATTAATGATAACATGGTCTCTCATTTCCAGAGGGTTATGCAGCACAGGAAAAACAAGTGACTATAGACAGATTTTTCACCAAAATTGACCCTGCAACTAAGAGACAAAAATGAGAGGAAACCCCTGAAAGAGATCTCCCCAATGTCCTTATGGAGGGGGACTCTCTCAAAACAATAACCTCTCCCTCCCCCGCACCTAGGTTAGTGTTCTCCACTGTACTGTACTGTACTGTACTGTGCTTTATTACTTTGTTGTTCTTTCTTACTTTGTTGTTCTTTGTCACTGTGTTTCAAATTTTTCTGATTAAAAAAATAGTTACAGAACGGATTAACAGATTAACCTTATTTATATTGAACCTTATGGGGAAATTTGACTTGGGTCACAACCAATTTGGGTCACAACCAGAGTCGTGGAACAGATTAAGTTCGTGAGCCAAGGTACCACTGTATTTCCATGAGGCACTTAGAAATATTTGCTATGTATGCTCATAAATGTTGTTAACTAACCATCTGTAAGAGGAGAAACAGAGGTTGGGAAACAGCCACTGAGTCTCTCCTATCTCAAGTACCAAATTATCTCCACAAGACAGGGTATACTCTTCTCAGGTCACTAAGAGGCAAATTGTGTAACGATACTGACTGGAAGCAGCATCTGGGAATTTCTCGCTTCTGCCTCCTCCAGTTGAATTTTTCCAAAGCAGCAAATACCAATGTTATAAAAGTATTCCTGAAAAAAATTATGTAATAAATAATACAAACTTTGTGAAGAAAGCGAGGACTTCAGACATGGTGATCTCTCTACTAGGGTATAAATAGATTTTGAGAAAAGAATATCCAATACTTTTCAACTTCAGAAAACAGGAAATATAGGATTTCGCATAAATGCAAGTCATGTTAATGATCTCATTAACAAATACATTTTTGCCTTGGCACATCTGCACAGTGGTGAATAGTTCCTGTCATCAAAGACTACCAAAAGTAACTTTAAGGAGCTAAGAATGTAATATGTGATTCTTGTGCATATTTATAAGAAAAGCTACAAAGGGAACTAAAAAGTATAGTAGTAATTTAGGATATTATTGTAGGAAAACCAAATTTATCCATTATGGAGGGTTTACTGGGATCAAATTGTTTGATTTGATAAAAGTTGGGTAAAACACTTCCTTTATTAGTATTTAAAAGAAGCTTCTTCTGTATTCCTTTTTTTCTACACAGCTCTTTGGAGATGTCTGCTATAACTGCAGCCATGTGATTGAGGGGGATGGTAAGTTTGAAGCTATTTATCAATGCAGCTGTTGCAGTTCTGCATGTACAAAGCATCAGTTATTCTTTTCATATCTGTTCTTGCTGGATTTAGTACAACTCTGCCATTTATTAATCATGTTTCCTGATATTTCTTGCTAGTGGTATCTGCTCTTAACAAGGCTTGGTGTGTGAACTGCTTCTCCTGTTCTACCTGCAACATCAAGCTCACTTTAAAGTAAGTGCTAAGCAAAATCTGCCCAGATGGGAAAATGAACACAATCCAGGGAGTTAAGACAGAGTAATCATCAGAGCAATTCCTGGGGTTGATTAAACTAGGAATTGCCAGGGACAAGCAGAGTGTACACAAGCAATTTCCAATTTTATGATGTACAAACCTGGAAAATCTGGTTGTTATTAATTTCATTTCTGTGCTTGCCCAATAGCTGAAGTTTTCTGGATGGTTCACAACAGATAGATGTGGAAAATGCAGTCTAGTAGCAAGTCCAAATGCATATCAGTTCAGATCATTTGTTGCAGAATTGTGAAAATCTCAACACGTTTTGATTACAATCTCCTTCAGCAACAGTTGTGTCAGCTGTTCTTTCTCCCTCCCACCCACCCACCCACCTTCAAAGAGAGCTCTCATGAATCCTTCCAATCTCAGGCAGATGTAACGAACACTGCACTCTAGTACTGGCCAGCCAGCCAACCAGACTGGTTCTCTATACTCACAGGCAAGCGGCTTGTGTTACCCTAGTGTCTCAGGTCTTTTAACCAGAGATGCCGAAGGTTGACTGGAAGAAACATTTCTTTGCAAAACTTTTGCTCCTGAGCTTGGAAAGGATTTTACACAGGCAAGCAAAGGGAATATACACCTGATCTCCCTGAACTGTTAAATGTCACAAGATTTTTCTAAGTAAAATGTAATGACTCTGTATTTGTTTGAAAGGAATAAGTTTGTGGAATTTGACATGAAGCCAGTGTGCAAGAAATGTTATGAGAAATTCCCCTTGGAACTGAAGAAACGTCTGAAGAAGTTATCCGAGTTGGCTTCCAAGAAAACTCATCCCAAAGCTCTGGATTTAAATTCTGCTTAAAGAGGTCCATGTATCCTGCTTAAAGAGGTCCATGCTTCCTGCTGACTGCACTCATCTTCACCTGATAAAACATGTATCACCTGCTGATCCACTGAAGAATGTCTTAAAACAGCTTTCCCCAACCTTGCATCTCCCAGACATGTTTGAACTGCAATGCCCAGATTTCCCCATCAGTGCCCCTGCTGGATGGGAATTCTGGGAGTTGCAGTCCAAATGCCTCTGAAGGTCTCCAGGTTGGGGAAGGCTGCCTTAAAGGATCTGAGACAGACAAAGCTCACCAGTTATATTTTGCAGCCTGCATATTTTTCTGCTCAAGTATATTGTGTCGAGTCTGGCTTATCAAAGACAGATATGGTTATAGATTGGGGTGCAGATCTACAGGCTGGAGTGCCATATTCCCCAGAAGACCATCTCCCTTCCCCCAGCAGAGCACTGGTTGGGTGGTTTTCCAGCTTTTGTAGTTTCCCCCCTATTATAAAAGATAGAAATCCCTCTTCTAAGTCTTAATTACTACAGTAAGAACTTAGCGAATGCTAGTACTGGGGGTATACCACTTTTGCTTTTGGCTTCACCTATCACTGGAATGTGGCCTTTAAGCTTTTGCAAAATGGAATTTAGATGTCAGAGGTTCAGCATCCCTGCCTACATATTCCTTTCATATTCAGAGCTTTTCTGACAAAGCATCTCGTTTGCACTCATCATTCCCTACTCAGGGTTTTTAAGATGATGTTGTGACTGTCTAGTTGTGTTCCTTTGTCTGTATAGCACTTTGAGCAAGTTTATTGACATCGAAAGAAAATTTTTTCACATGTATTCGTGCTGTTCTGCTATACCACTATCTGCTATGCCACCTTAAGGTTATAGAGTAGAAAAGCAGGAAAGGAGATGTTTTTTGTGTAACATTCAGATCTCAATCCTGCTAGAAAACCCAAAAGTAGATACAACAGATTAACAGCCTCTGTGCAAAATCCCTTTTTTTCTCCACAGTTGCTGTACTGAGATTCAGGGTCAGCATTTTATTCAGCATTTTATGCAAAACCAGCTTGGTAGGCTGCAAGTGGAAAAAAGGAAAGGTTAAGTGAAAATAGACGGTTTAACACTTTCCATCCAAACATTTGCTTTTTAGCTAAAAATCAAATTGCAAGCAGCTTTTTCACCAAAGTTGAAAAAGCACCTTGGAGAGATATTTTAAGCTAAGAAAGAATTGGTGTGGTGAGGGAAGGGTTGCTGCTTTCATTTCTGCTTATCCTTTGTGATGACTTGTAACCTGTGCAGGCTAATTTTGATTTTTAAAAATTGCAGAGAAAAAAATGCAGTCAACTTCATGTAATGTGTCTTCTGAACATTCCCTTAACATTGCAAGTGACTAATTGCAATTGAGTCCCTAAATTGCTAGTACTGGGGGTTGTGTGGGATTTATGAAAATCAAGCAACATTGCCATTTTTTATAAAATTGTTGCAGTGGAGTATGGTATTACTTGGCACAAACTTATATCGGTTTATTAACTGGCCAGCCTTCCTTACTGCTGTAGTAACTAAGCTGCATGTGGTTTTTTTCAGCTTCTGAAACTATTAGTTTATTCTGGCATAAACAAGTTTTATAATATAGACAAAATTTTATAAAATTCCCAAGGTCTCACCTAGCACTGCACCTTATTATTACCCCTTCATTCAGTGTTATATTCAATTGTATTGTAATCCTGTAAGCAACCCTGCTAAAGCTAGAACTATATGCTACCTTGGCAACATATTCCCAAAAATATGTTTTTATATTAATGCAGGGGCAAGGAGTGTGTCTTTAACCCTTTCCCCTCTTCCATCTTTGCACCACACTTCATCCTGACCAATTTCTCCACAGCTATCTCAGGTTTTATGTCGGGAGTTGGGTGAATTGCAGAGGAGAAATAGCTAGGATGCAGAAAGGTGACTGACAGTGGAGGCATTAAGCCTACTGAGCACCATGTTATCTTTTGCACCTGTATATTTTTCTGCTCAAGTATGTGCTATCTACCCGCCCCCACCCAAAAAAAATAGCAATACCAGGCAATCCTGTGTTTGGTAGCTGTTTGCTTCATAAACTGTAATGTTTGTATTTCTGTGGTAAGAAGATATAGTGGAAAGCTTAGTAGAATAAGCTGTCCCTTTGTAACTAAGTACAGAGCAGAAAAGCATTATCTTGTCCTTCTTATGCATCCTTGCTTTAGTTAAGCACTGCACACTGCTTCTATTGCAAGATGAAGATCAACTTTTCCATCTTCTTTTATAAATGAATCCTCAGATAACATTTATATACTAATTATTATTTTATAAATATTTAGTTTATGTTGTCACATCTAACAAAGAAAAGGCTTGTTCTTTTCTTTATCCGAAGCCATGCTTCAGCTATAAATACAAAGGGGAACAAATTTCACAGGGAGAAGCACATTTACAGTAAGGGGACTCTCAGAGAATCAGTCACTCTCATGTAGAGCCCTCAGTTAAGATTGTGCATGTGCACAAGTGTGCATGTGAACTGGCATAGTCATTTAAATGGAACAAACACCAGACTTATGAGCAGGCAGTTTGCTTGTTCCATGTGTTCCTGTAGGTAGAGAAGTTGTGTGGGAGCAGTGTGGTTCCCTTTCCCCCAATGAAGCCATCAAACTGTACTGCTGAAGGAAAAAAAGCACAAATACTACAACCCATGTAGAATCTTCATATCCTGACTAATGTTAAGACTGCTCGTATATTTGGACTCATAACTTTGGTTATTCATAGCTAGAGAATACAACATCTAAGCCACCTAGGAAGGCCTTTGGCAGTTAGGTGGCATGTAAATGTTTGAATAAATAAATAGGCATGCATCTATTTGCAGTGAAAGATATGGCAAATTGTGCTAGAGGGGGATGAGCAAGTGAATATTCAACCTTAAAGGTACAATCCCATGCATGTTTATACAGAAAAAAGACTATAAATTCCCACCTTTAGTATGGGAAGCACTGTGACCGATGATTCCTAGTTCCTGATCCAACAAGTGATAATGGGCCTGCTTTCAGGATCATTAAATGCTGTGTACTTTAACAATTTTAATGTACTATTCCTTGACAATGCAGACTTTGTTACTCTAATATGAATAGACAAAGGCTATGTGCCTTAAATTTAACTGATTTCTAGGCCATCTGTAACACTAAGAAGTCAGAGGCATTTTTACAAAATATGGTATTTGCTTTTTCCATGATACATTTAAAGATGAGTTTAAATATTTAAAAAAATTATAATGATTGGGAAAAGCCTTATACAGTGGAATCAAGAGACAGATTTAAAATGTCATTCAACCTATGGAATTTCCTGGGGCTTCATAAGATAAATAATTACAACACTAATCTCTAGAGTTATCTAATATGAAGAATCAAGTGTCTACTTCTGAAATTTTCTTTTATGTTAGATTGTTATGTACATCATATCTTCAAAAAATAGAATCCAATTGTTGGAATTTGTTGAAAAATATAAAACGATCGCCAGGAAACAATTTACTTCCAATGGCAAATGGCTTTTCTAGGGCTGCCTGCTATAATGATCAGTAGAGCTGAGCCAAAGCATGGGGTTGAGGTTTATGAACATTTGTCCTCTGAAATATGTCCCATTTTTGGCTCTAAAACGCATATATCTTGCTGGCAGAGTGAGAATGAAGGTAGGCAATGAAACTACAGAACAGAAAGCATTGGTTGGGTGTATGCTGGAATGCACACCCCAAAGAGAAGATTCTCTTTCAGAGTAAGTATTTGGCTGTCCATCAGAATATACAGAACAGTATGGACTCTGGCAAGGGTAGGGCTTGATTTGGCCTTCAGAATGAGGGTAGTGTATTTGCATCAGTGCCACCATTCAGTTAAATATGGCCCCATGTTTATTGTGCGATTCCTCACTGAGTTGGATCAGTTGTCAGGAAAGAAAGAAGCCCTGTAAAAGTGTTTAAAATGCCATTGAAAGTGGAATGTTGGGGGGATGTTGGCTGTCACAGGAAACAGGATATAAACATGGGAGGCAAGAAGTTTTGCCTCCCATTTTATTTTGCACATGTTGAAAACACACTTTTTAGTATAGCTCTGCTGACCAGTCCATGTCAAGTAGGCATTTGTTCCATTAAAGGCAGTCTGAATGGGTAAAAATCATAAGGTAGATTCATATTAAGTACATGCTGCACTGAATGCATATTTACTTGCTAGCAAACAATACATTCTTAATATGCAAACAATATAGTTACATCTTTCATGCATACATAAATCACTTGAGTTCATGGATTACTTCTGAAGAAAGCAAATAATCTTAGAAGGCATAGGAGGAACTTTAAAAGTTACTAATAATTGGCATCATAATAATGATATTCTCCATCCTCCAGTGGTAAGGCGATGGAGTTGCCAAATATTTTGTAAGAGACAATTCTCAGTTGAAGAGACTGCATTTTTTACAATGTATGGAAATGCTGTGACTAACAGAGCAAAGTGAGGGATGGCTACTCAAAAGTGAATTCTGTGGAGTGTAGAGTCAGTGTACCCAGGTAAGTATGCATTGTAGGGTTGTAGTATTGTTAGGATTCTAGCCTAACAATACAATACTGTGCATGTCTACTCAGGGGTAAGCCTCATTGAGTTCAGTGGGACCTGTAGCCTGACAAGTGAATATATGATTGCAGCTTCCAGTATATGAAAAATGCTCAGTTATTACGTAAACCATATAATGTATAAATAGGAATTGTCTCTTTCTGGTACAAGATCATAATCAAACTTCAGTGTGTGATGTCAAACTTTTTACAAGACCTATGAAGTTTTCTGGCAGTCAGTACTTTGCAATTGTATAACTGTTATGATTTGCCTAACAAAATGATCACTTCTGTTGGGTTAAAAGATAGTATTCACTTCAGTTTATATTATTGGAATGACTGTTCACTGATAGATATATTTTAAATCTTCACAGTAAACATTAGTTTAAAAGTTACACGAGTTGTGTTTTTATCGGAGTTTGGTTTGGGTCAACTGTAACTACAATCATATTTCTCCTCAAATAACTCCAGTGGATGTGGCTTAGTTTGGGGCCATTTCAACTTGCATTCATTCTAGTGTTTTTATAACAGAGGACCAAGATAGATGGTTTAGCAATGCTTCTTGGATTTATTGTTACTGATTTATACTTGGTTTTTACAACATGTATGTCTAAAGAAAGGCAGCAAATATCACTCTCATTGTTGTACATTTCTATTTAAAGAGTAGGAAGAAGAATTTGGTTATTAGCATTAACAGAAAACAAGTATACAAATATTTTAAGTAAAATATATTGAACATCAATTCAGAAATGCATTAGAACCCTAGTGACCTCAATTCCAGATAATTTCAAAGTACCCACTGCCAGCAATGGACACTGCTTGCCGAATTTGTGAAAGGTTAAGTATGTTAAAAAGTGTGGCACTCTTTGGCTGCATGCTGTAATGCTCATCCTACATATAAAATATTATATTTGCAAAACTGCACATTTCATCCTAGGTTTGAAAGAGACTACTTTGGCAAATAACAGGTTGGAAGCCAACAGTTGGTTTTTCCTAGCTGCCGAAAAGTGCCCAAAGAATTTGTGTAAAGGTACTACATCAGCCTTCCCCAACCAGACCCTCTAGATGTTTTGGGTTAGAAGTGCACTGTTAAAAAAAATTTCTTCCAAAATACCAAATATTGTCAATTTGGCACTGGCTGCAAGTGATGGATAACTGCCATCTTCAGGCAAGAAGATGGGAATTCTTCTTTTTGTTTACAGCATTCATTAACAGGTGCACATATGATGTCAACAGATCATCCATTTTGTATCCCTAGAGGGAGGAGAAATACATTTAGTGATTAGTCTCAGAAAGGGCTTCAAAAACTCCATCCTGATCAACAGATTAAGCCTCCAGGCTGTCCTGGCAAGCAATATTGTGTTAGTACTTACCCTACTTATACAGTTGTTTCTGCTTATACAGGCCAGCATTCCTAAATATTTAAGCCCTCATTCTCTTTGCTAAATAATCTGACATGTGCTCCCCTACATGGCCAAAGCAACAAACTTGCACATATGCCAACCAGTCCCATCTCTGCTACAATTCTAAGATATAAAATTTGCTTCTTTCAGTTATGTCACCTGCTCCCATCCCTTTCGCCCATGCATATACTCCATGCCCTCATTTCCCTGCCTTCTAACATCAAGAAAGGCACAGAACTATTTTGCATAATATAGTCAGGTCCTGGGCTAGTTAATCAATGAGAACCTGCAGTCCTTGCCAGGCACATGCAACCCACTATTCTGAATAGGTAACTCCTGTTGGGGTGATTGCGGGTTGTACCATGTCATACACACCTCACCATTATTGTTTATTTGAGGATTAATCCACACACAAATCTCTTTCTTGTAAAGGGTTATGAAATAGACAAAATCACCTCACTTGGGGGGGGGGGCAGGTTGCATAGTGAAAACAGCTGTGGTTCATAATGGGTTAAATAATACAGGATGACCTAACCACATCATGTGAACCAGGTGGGACAAGGAGACTCCTGATCTAAGACAAGTTGGAGAAAGCTGCTTTTTCAGGATTTTTCTCAATCACCTATAAGAGAAGAACTGATTGTGAAAATGTTTTCTCCTTCCCTGGAATGGACATGTTTACTGGATTGCTTTCCTTATCCTTGCGATGAAGCAAGGACATGTTTCGAAAAGCCAATGCAAGTGCTTAGAAATTGCTCCACAAAGAGCAGTCTGACTATCCCCAAGGGTACAGCCACATGGAGTAGGCAACGTTTGACCCAATGCATTCCTGAACAACAGCTTCAAGGTAAGTGCGACAGCACCTTTTGCATCTGCCACTTATATAAAATGCTGTTGAAATGTAGCAGTTATCTGAGTATGTTGTGGGACTAGAATTATTTTCACTACACAGCTGCCTTCCTGGGGACAATTAGTTCTGTGAGGAGCAATTTGTCAAATTGGAGAAATTTTCCCAGAGAGCATGTTTACAGGAAAGAGAGCAAAGCTTAACTAGAAACTGTCAGGTGCTTCTTTTCTCTTCAGCAGATGGTCTCAATAAATCTGAAATTGTAAGTTTTTCTTACCAGAGATGTCTCACAAAGGATTCTGCTTCCTCGTACCAGGTTCCCAATCGTCATGTGGAAGTATGTGCTGCCACTGCTCCAGTTAGATATTTTAGTGAAAGGATACACTATTAAAATCTCCTGCAAAGCAAAATTAATGTTACATGTGAGATTTATAAAATACACAGACCATAAGAGAGATGTGGGACACCTGCTTGTAGCTTTCCATGAAGCAATTTAATACTGATGTTTCTTCACTTTATCCTCTCTGCTAATTTCTGTTGATTTAATGTAAGTTGTTTCTAGGAAAAATTCTACCACTAGATAGAGTGGTTTCTGATCCTAAAGTATTCTTATTCAAGCATTTCTGATCCTAAAATATTCTTTCTAAGCCGTGTTTCAGTTTATTTGCAATTTAGCCTGAATGATACACCAAACATCACTATCCTTATGTAGGAAGGAGCTGCTTCTTCCTGGGTTCACAGTTCTCATGCTTACCACCTCTTTATAGAATTCTTTGATTTTACACTGTTTTGGAGAAGCAAAGAGAATAATAGAGAAATTGATCAGGCTTGAGCGAATAGTCTTAGTCAATACAGATTTTCTTTAACAGAAGCAGCAGTGCTAGTATCTCCTGATGAAGGCCACAGCTGTGGTCAGATTTATTTACACACTTACCTGAAAGGAAAGCGTTTCCAATTTAAACTCAGGCTGTAAGCCTTTTTCAATGGGTTACAGCAAAGGTATACCAAGTATACGAAAATGTGTCTTACCTTAGTTTTTGGATGTATTAAGGAGACTCCTTGTTTGTTGATAGCAATCAGTACAATATCAGGGAAATTTGGCTCAGAGACTTGCTAAGTAAGGAGGAACAAAAAGGAACAAGATCTACTCTTAAAGAGTTGTTTCTTACCACTAAAATGGTTGCCTGTTGTCATTTTTCTTTTATTAGCACATGAACCACAAAAGCTATGGGTCAAACTATATTACACAAAAACACATCACACACACATGTTCAATGGCTTCTTCCCTCAAGCTTTCATCTGGGTATTCTCCCTTGAATCGTAGCTTTGGAGGATGGACGCTTGGAAATGGAAAGCCATTTACAACAGAATAAAAAAAGCGTTAAGCACTGTTTCCATTCCCCAGGTCTCCATCACCATCTCCTTTTCATAGAGGTGTAGGCAGGTGGAACAACACTGCACACATTTGCATCCTTTTTTTGCATGATTTAATCAGGTGCATATGCACTGGGTTGTATGCAATCGTAGCCTGTCAACAGCAAAAACCAAACTGGAACAGCAGCAAACTAAATATGCCTGAGTGAAGTCCCAAAAGCACACACTAAAAATGGTAGATAAGTGAAGTATTGGTGCTGTTTCAGCAACAATTTCAGGTCATTTTGAATCCTAAATTCAATCAAGAAATGTATCTGTAAACATCTTTATTTAATGTGTCACTCATTTTCAACTCCCCGTTCCCCAATTTCCTGGAAAAAACTAAAGAGGTACATATTCCAGAAAAACAATAAATTGTGAAAATAATTTTCTATAAGTGCAGATTATTTGCTAATTCCATCCTATTGTTAAGTATTATTTACATGGAATTTTAGACACAACCTATTTTCTTGTGGTGTGGCCACTCTATCCCCTCTGCATATTGACAACTCAATAGCCCACAATATGAGTTGTCACTGAACTGTGGGTCATTGTTGCAACATGGATTATTGTGTTGCCTAAACCAGGCTTGTAAAGCATAAACAACCCAGGAAAAGAACCCATGGTGTAACTGTGGTTTATTCATCATGGTTTGCTATCTTGACTGGGTTTAGACAACATGACCACCAATGGTTCAGTTACAAGCTACATTTGTACTTTGCGGAGGGTTATCCCCATAGGCAAGATGAGTTCAGCAAGGGCAGCTTGCACAGTAGAGAAGGAAGAGCAACCACCCTTGCAGTGACTCCAAATTAACTCTGCCACCGACATTCAGCCAGAAGTATATGCTGAGGTAGACATGTGAAGGCTGGTGCCAAACACAGATTTTCATGAAGTTCTGACCGGCTTAGATGTTCACATCTTGTGCCTTAGGATGTAGCACCTACAACTGAAACCCAGTGTACACAAAAAATGCTTCATCTGATTGGTCACATGGATGGGCTCTCAGTAAACTTAAGCACTTAAAAGAAGCAGGAGACCAACAGAAGATGTTTCTACTGTGTAGACAGTAGCTTTTCTTTCATATGTTGAGAACCCAAAACTTGAAAACTCACCTTCACTTCAAAGAAGGCAGAGCCAAATGTTGGCCAACGATATATGTACTTCAAGAAGGCAATCTTGGCCTCATCCACAGTTTTCTGTTCATGTTTGTTGGAGGCGGAAATAATACTCTGTTTAACACACACAAATGTGAGTCAAAATTGTAGCCAAGATTTCTCCAGCAAAAGCTCATTTCATGGAATTGTCCATAGGTATGGAGAAAGTGAAGAAAATTTTACTTACTCCTACAGTTACAAATTACTAATTTATGACTAATAATTTATATAGTTAATAGTTTAACTATAAACTGTAATAGTTTATAGTTAAATTATATTTTGTTAATAATTTATACTTCATTGATGGCAAATTAAAGTTGCAAATTAATTTTATCTGGCATCTCCCTGCCCTAAAATAAAAATGAAGAACAACATTTCCTATTGGCAGGAATCTGTGTAGAACAGAAACCATGCACTATAATAGACATCTCTAGATAGAAATCCAAAGTTATTCAATATGCTATTTGCCATTTTACATAGAAGCATTTCAACTGCAGATACATTTTAAAAGGACTGTGGTCAGTGGGAGTCTTCACAGACAGTACCATTGGCTTTACTCACCAGTGAATTTCAGGTGAAAAATTACCAAAGATGAGTAGCTACAGAATGGTGCCAATCCCCTGTCCCTACACCCCCCCCCCACACACACACACACACAAAGCAGATTTTGTAAAGAAGACACTTCTTCATACCCGTTTCCACTCCTCTGGAGATGCTGTTCGGATCATGTTTTCAGGCACTAGTACCTTCAGTATTTTGGAAATTGCAGCATATTGTGTTTGATCATTGTTATACTGAATTTTAAAAATCAGTCCAGCTAAGTGGATGGCATCCTCTTTTGAGCACTTGTGATAGCCTCGTAGATATTTTGGCAGTTCCTGAAAAGTATGATTTATGAAGACTATTTAACGTGGTCCCTTTCTCTGCAATTTGGCTGAGGGGTTGTAGGTGACAGGCAACAGTGAGTTTAGCAATAAATGTGCTGTGAGGTTCCTGCTGAACACTAAAGCACCAAACTAGAGGTAAGAAAGGCTTCTATGCAGATACTTCTTGAAATTTCTTTGCTTACCTGATCAGCTTATCATCCTTAAATTTAATTCAGCTGCAGAGTCAATTCTGGGCACTGCACATGCGGTCACCACACATGTGGTCGGCCCTGCTCAGTACAAGAAGGAAGAACACGACCTACTTGTTCTATTCCAGATATAGCCATTCCACCTCTCACAATTCTGTGAATTGATTTTAACATGGCAAAATCACTTGCCATGGTAATCTGGTGTGTAAATCAAGTGATGATGAGATTTTAAAGTTTTAGTAGCCTGGGAGATGTTAGCCCAGATGGAAAAAGGTATAGAATTAGATACTCTGTAGAAGAATGCTTGTCTCATCTATACTGACTAGAACAGAGAACCCAGATTTTAAAAATAAACTGGGAAAAATTGAAGATGAAGCTTGATTCTCTTTTTCAGTTGGCAACTTTTGGTTTATTTGTATTTGTATTTAGTCTCTTACAGTTAGAAAAATTATCTTGATTCTAACATTTTCAGGTAGAATTGAGAGCATTTTTAAACTACAAAAGACTAAATCCAAACACAAATAGGAAAAGAATCAAACAAAGCTTGCCTACTTCTTTCATTTTCTTTGATGTGGTTCCTACTTCAAACAAGCAGTTTAAATAATCACACTTTTTTGTAAATTAACTGGCATTCTAATTAAACACATAAGCTGTATTTCAGTTGACTGAAAAGGGTTCATTCTTTTTAAAAACTAAAGCTATTCATTCAGAATGACACTCCTGCCAGGTATGGTTGAAGTGCATGGTTTTTAAGATGTCACAGAAATCCTTCATGTGTGAAGTAAAATTTCCCATAGGATTGTGCCCTCAATGCTGAAAATGCTTTTGACTCTGAACCTTACAAACACCCTGTGCAAATTGGGGAAATGGCAGAGATCAGCTAATCAGCCAGTTTCAGCAGTCTAGCTGCAGTGTTTCAGTCAGGGAAGAAAGGAGGATGTAGTGCTGCCAGGATACCTTGTATCCTAATGGCCCTGATCCCTCCACTCTCCCTCTCTCCACTGTAGATTTTCTGGCCTTTGGGAAGCAGCTAACACAGTTATTTCTTAGCCAGCTGTGAAGCGGGGGAGGGCTCAAGCGCAGATTCTCAGCATGAGGTTGGAATATTTCCAACCTTGGATATGAGATTCCCAAGATTACATTGAGGACTCACTCTCTAACCAGAACATTAAAAGTCGGCAAATTCCTGACCAAAATCCAACAATAACTTGTAGAACTGTGGTGATTGTTGCCTTGTTATACAAGTAATGTTACCTGATGGTAATGAAAGGTGCAGTCAGCCTTCAGGTCCTTTCCAGGAGTCACATTTAGCCATAATTTTCTCATGAAATAAACCTGATAATTCACAGTGATGGGAACCACTAGGAAAGCACAGTTATAGACATGTAAAACAGGGAACTTCTAGTCTTCCTTGCCCCTCTAACTTCCCTAAACCAAGCCAGCCAATTGCTTCTACTTCCAACAACCCAGAAAGGAATGCTGATTCAAAGAGGGATGATTCATCTAGCAAATGAACTGGCTGTCTCCTCAATTTTCAGAATGATTATTTCCTCATAATCAAGAGCTGCCCCAGTAGAGTATTCATCAGCCGACTTCCATACCCTCTTTGCCTGGCCTGTTTTTCCTCATCCAATCGGTCACCTGCCTCAAGGAGTCAAAGAAGTAATCTGCCTCATTCTGGCTGATCACCTGGAAGGGATATAAATGGGAGCTGAGTTAGTACAGTAAACTAACTATCCTAAGAGTTCTCAATTAATGGAAAGTTTTGGGAAAACAGGAGCTAAGCAGATGTGATGCCAGTATGACCCATGACTTAGAATGTATGTCATACAGACGAGGTATGAAGAGTAAAAATTAGGTGAAAACTGCAAAGTGGCAAAAATCTGCCTTCTTGCCTATAAGAGTAAGTTTAAACAGAGCTTACTATCCCATGGAGCTCACAGTGGAAATGTGACCCATAAAAAGTCTACTCCATACTGTTGCACTCTGTGCCAAATTACCTTGTCTGCAGTCTTGACAAATAAGCTAAATCCTTCCCAGGAACTCAGTTCCATCTTGGAGGCGATAATCTGACACAAAGTCCGTACTTTTGTGTTTGTTCCTACCTCAAACACCTGGAGAATAAGAATGGGGTACCAACGTAAGTAGACAGAAAGGGAAGAGAATACCAGATGGGTGGGTGAAGGATGGGTCTGCTAAGAGATGGACACTTGTCCCCTTGGTTGTGACCACTGCTGCTGAACTGGCCCAGTGCCAAACTGGTCTGACCCAACAAAGCATTTCCCCCCTAGAACTGTCTCCTTCAGAGGCCATTCCACCAGGTCACTATATCCATTATGAAGCACTGTGTAAGAATCGACTTTGCCTATTTTCTTCTTCTCTTCCCATACCATTTTGCTCTTTATGTTATGTATATTAGATTGCAGATGACTACAGAATATGAAGTACACAGAATATGAAGTCCCCGCAGCACTTTTAATAGCTATATATGGAAGAGCTAAACTTACTTGCTCTGTGTCATTGGGAAAGTAAACCTTATGTAAAATCTTTGTGATATTCTTCTGAATTGCCTCCACTTCCACACTGTGTGGGGCCCACTTCCGAGAGCCACTCCTGGAAAACAGCAGTGCAAACAGAGCACTCTCAGAGAAGGCTGTTTGCTCACTTGGAGGTGCAAACAGTCTGTTCAAATAATCACTTTGATTAGAAAGAGTTTTCTAGAACAAGGAAGATGCTATACAGAGTTTTCACTACCAACAAAAGACTAAATGATGATAGTTGCATAACTAGCAAGTATGTGTCCTCTTCTTTTTACTTAATAGTAGGCACAGAGGGCCTTCACTAAGACCAGTTCACTAGCTTTCATTCATTGATTTTCACTGAAAGTATGGCACATGAGAAGCAGAGATTTAAGCCTTCCCCCACTAGCTGCAATTCCAGTAAAAATGGAGTGGAGGAAGTGTCTGGTGAACATAACAATTTGGCCAAGAGGGGGGGAATCAGACAGCATAAATGGAACTCAGTGCAATATTTAATAGGAACACCTAGGTGATGTGCAACTTGGCTATGGAGTGAAGAGACCCAATTCAGGCCCTCCACATGGAAGGAAGGTTGTACCTTTCATACTTTTTGTAGACTAGGTTACATGCTGTAAATTTTGGGGGGCAATCCTTTGCATATTTAGATAGAACAATCTGTGCTGTCTGGGACATGCTGGGAACTGTAGGACTTCTTGTGTTTAAACATGCTTTCAACTGTACCCTTAGATACTTTTCCTTCTACAATATACATGTTGACAGGGTGGGGTTCTGCTGTTTTCTGATGAATGGAAAATACAAAACCATCCCGAAGAACTAACAAAGCCCCTGTACCTCATTACCCTTTGGATCCTTCGCCTGCAGTCCAAGGCCAGGTTCTCCTTCTGACGAGTTTCCATGAACTTCTGAGCATGTTTCAGCAGGGATTTACTAGGAGGGAAAAGGCCCGTGCAGAGCCACAGTAACTGCCAACCACGATTCAGGCTGTACCTGTAGGTTGGACAAATGATTTCAAAACTTTGCATATTAATATTTATACAAAAGATTATTCAGCTAATCCAACAACTATTCAGATTTTGGAATCTGTCAGTCCGGTTCTCTGTGGTCCATGTACTGCTACAGGAACAAATGTCTCTGGTGTTGCTCCCTATGGAGGTTCTTGAAGTCAGCTGCCTCAGGTGCTAATCGGCCAAGCAGTTCTTTTTCTGACAGTGAGATACAAATCAGTTGTTCTGAAAAGCAACCACCTTTCAAGACATGCTTAGAAATGCTTCACTTTGGTACCTGTTGTTGTTCTCTGTCAACTGTTTCATGATCTGACAGTAGATCTCATCGTGCAAAAGTTCCTCCTGGATTGCTGCTACAAATATCTGGTCAGTGAGCTCAACAGGAGATCTCTCCTGCTTTGAGGGGTAGTCGCCCATGTATCTCATGATAGGTGAGCAAAACGTTAAGGAAAGGTTTATGGAGAAGATGCACAATACCCAACCTAGAGCTAATTTTCCCTAAGGGTCCCCAGCAAATGAATCTTTCAGTAAGACTCAGAACTGCTGTCTGACAAACAGATCAGCTCAAAATTACCTATTAGCACTCCTTTATGTGACTTTTTTCTTGACATCCTCATTTCCCTTACCCTAACAAGTTCCATGAGCCACAGAAGGTACCATTGTCAGTGAATATCTCTCCGGGGATAAACCAACATGGCTAGCTGGACAGACAGGTCACCTGCACTCTGGCCTATCCTCCTCTTCTTTCCCCTAATTCCCAGTCTTCTCAATCCAAACCAATCAAAACATCAAACTATTTGCATGTCAGAAATGCAATGTATGGTAGAAGCCGTTCCTACTTCACTTTCTACTAGAAACCCAAAAACAGGGAAGCCAGTTGAGGCAAAATGATTCACTTCACCCATTCATAAATAAATTACTTTCCCCATAAAGGATATCACTGAAGGTCTGGCAAGCAGTGTCCCAGAGGTCTGGGTTAGTACACACTTTCTTCAGCAAGGGCTGCTTCAGGGGCTCTCGAGAGTGAGCCCACAGGTGACTCCGTGCACGGGACTTGTGCAGGACGGCCTTGCTGATTGACTCCTTTTCAGGAACTCTGGACAAACATAAAAGAGCAGCATTGCCTCCTTGCAGGGATGTGTAGCAAGGCTAGGAGGATCATCTGATAAAATTCTGGCAAAAATCTGCACACCATGGAAATAGCACAGGGTTGTTTGCTATGTTGTGTGAATGCAGCTTGTGAATATGTTCATGCCCTGTCCATCTGTGATAAGGAGGAAACCTCTTCCCCTATCATTGCAAGGTGTCACTTCTGAGAGAGGTGACTGAATTGTGCTTTTGCCCATTCAATAGTCCCTCCTCCCCAGACTTGGTATCAGAGGTTGTATGGCACCCGCCCTGAGGCCTTAACACAGGGATGCAGAACCACATGCCTGGCAGACAAATCCAGCCGCCCTAGGTTACAAATCAAAACAACCTCCAGAGTCCCCAGAAGGTTGCAGTTACTTTGCCTGCCCCCAGACACTTTCCTTCCAGCCACCAGTGACTTTGTGGTTTCCCTATGTTTTTGTAGTGGTTTTTTATGCTTAGCTACTGGCAGGAAGAGTGTTAAGCTAAAAATGTGCTGCTGTTTGGGGGTTTATGGCTTGCCACTTTTGTCTTCAGCCCTGCCCCACCTTGGAATTTGAGAGCTTCCCTGAACTAGAACTCAGCCTTGTGCTGAGAGAGGCTTTACTCCCCTGCCTGACCTGCTGCCTTGGGCACCCCTCTCTGAGCAACTTGTCAGGTTGGACTGTGATGGACTGTCTGGTCCTGCTGAAATATGAGTCTGCTTGGCAACTTGCTGACCCCATTACCAGCCTGGCAGAATGTGAACATCAGCTATGCAAGACACAGGTCTCGTTCTGTTCGTGGCTCTTCTACAGGAGGCTAAGAGTGGTTGTAACAATATGAAAGAACCTTTGATTCAGCCTGGACTGGGTGTACTTCCTGGAAAAAGCCAGGAAGTAGGCGAGGAGAGGGAACTCTGTAGAGGAGTCTTTGAATAAAACTTGGCAGTTTTGTTTAGAAAGCAGAGTATGTCTGGCTCCGTGGGGGTGCAGGCCACCAGTTCTGAAACAGAGGTGTCTGGCCAGACATGGCTGTGGTAGATACCCTGACAGAAGCCGAGATGCCCTTGTTTTGTGTTGCTTGGGTGTTCCTCCTATCATGAAGAACTGCCTTACACTGCCAACTTATTTTTCCATCTCTCCTGGTATTGCCTCTCTAGCAACTTAGAGTCTCAGCCAGAGATCATTTCCATCACCAGCTACTTCATCCATGTAAGGATGAGGTAAATGCCAGGGACTGAACTTGGAAAAGTATGCATGCAAAGCTGGTGCCCCGCCACAGAGCTACTGACCCTTACCTGGGTTATGGTAGAAGTGTTAAATCCACAGTAAAGGCAAGACAGAAGGCAATGAGAACAGAATGCCTGAATGTTCAAAATCAAAGCAGCAAAACTTCTCTTAAATACATATTACTATAAGGCTACACATATGATTGCTTGAGAAGAAATGAATGATGTGTTTTTAAAATCTCATACTTAAGGCATCTTAAAACTACTTTAAAACTAATACTCGCAGGCAAACCTCATCGCATTTCCTAAAGATAATAAGGCATTGTTGGCTCACATGGCAACAAGGCCAAGCAAGTGGGATACATCTGCAGATCTTGGCAGCAGTCAACAGAAAGTGGCATTTAAAAACACTTTCAATTTGTAATGGTATATTTGTTTGCTCACAGTTCCTTTCCAGACGTGCTTCAAAATGATATAATTACTAATATGCAGTGTTTGTTGGGTTATATTTCTCAAGAGGTGCTTTCAGAGTTACATGTTGACACTATGGTTTGGTTTGGTTTTTTTGCATTTTGTTGATACGGTTGATAAAACATGTTGTATCCCCACTTTGCCAAGAGGCGATTGGTGCGCACTCTGCTGAATATGGGGAAAGTGCTGATGTGACAGAACGGCATAGTTGTATCCTCTACATTTCTGCAGATAAAGAATACCCAAAGGAACAAGCACCATAGTCGTTTCTTCACATTTTGTGAGAGCAACCTTGTGTGCCATTTCTCTTGGCAAAAGGTAGGGTACAAATCACATTCATCCATAGAAGATGGAGTAGGATGCAATAACCAAGTTGGATCTGAGTGAAATGACTGTGGATTCATCCCCAGCAAGCTCCAACGTAATTGGAGAAGACCTACAAAACACAGGAAGGTATACCTGAAGTGTTCATAGGAAAATTCCTCCAGAGTATATGGCTTCACTTTCACTTCCTCTTCCTCAGGTTCCTCCATGCGAGAGTTTAGTGATGCCAGCCTCCGTTGTTCTGGCGACATCGTCAGCAGGCTCTGCAAAAGAGATGGCCACTTGAAGACTCCATCTTCCTTGCTATGCAGGGCATTCTGTCTTAGCTGGCACAGTAGCAACAGCCCAAGGTTAACAAACCAGGGGCTGTGAAAAATGCAGTAGGAATAAGTGTATGTGTGACCTCCTGTGCACAGACACACAATTCAATTGGAACAAACAACCCAGGGATGGCCCATTTCTGGGTTCCATCTGTGACATTTGATTCCAAAACTGTGGGTTGTTAGAGAACAATGTTCGAACCCATGATTACAGCAGAAGAAAATCTTAATATTCCTTGTTAGAGGAGAAATCAAAGCTGAGCTGGCAGCTGGTGTGGAAATTAGGAAGGAGGACACCGAGGAGATGAAAACACAAGATTCCTGGAGAGAAACCCTGATGGACACCAGGAAACCTTCAAGCTCCTAGAGGAAATACCCTGCACATGGCTCAATACCAGATGCACATTTCTTTACAAGTCAGCTGTAATAGCAACAAGATATAGTAATGGGTGATGTTGGACACACTGGGGAACGGGCTTAAAAAGTGGACATTGTAGGCTCCAATATATTAAATAGGGAGCAACTCCTCTGGTCAAAGGGACTCACTGATGCCTTTAAGCTACCTGAAGCCTCTTCAGCTTCCTTCATCAGCATGGAGAAGTACACAGAAGGTGCTCCATTGGGTAGCTGGGGGCCTGCCCAGCTCTACGTTTGCCAAGAGGCTTCCAAACAATCAAGGGATCAGGAGGCTCACGCAACTCTACCAAAGGTTCCTGCAGTTCCCCAGTCGATCCTGCCACCTTCTTCCACACCTCTGAGTCACTTTCTGTACATTTGTGTGGGTTGAAGTTTGTTGACTCTACTAATGGCAGGGTGGTAACTATTATAATTGATTTATTCCCAGCGCTTACGTACTGCCCACTCACCTATCCTGCTGGGTGGTTTACAAAGTTTAAATAAACACAATAAAGCCTATAAATGGGATGCAGTAAGAGCCTCAACACAGAGCAGGCACTGTCTTATTGGCTCCTTACCAGGAGCTGACTAGAAGGCTTGGTAACTGTAGGGATGACATAGAGGGCATCTTGTGGCACAAGACCAGATCTATCAGTTCGCTCATTCTGAGCATGGATCCAGCCATGGCTTTCTCCCAGTCCTCTCTCTCGGTTTAAAATCAGCAGATCCCCCTTCTTAAAGGCCAAAATGGTAGAGTCATCTGGAAATAAAACAACAACTATGTTTCATTTCATAATTTCATTTCTGTACTGCCCAATAGCCAAAGGTCTCCGGTTCACAAAAATTTCAGTCCACAAAAAATACAGAATCTTTCAACATACATCAGTTTAAAATAATTGAAAACAATGAAAACCAGTTACAACAGGATGCCTCATTATGTGCAAATGCAGCCATAGCATTACGCTGCTTGGCCTCTTTTGGAAGTATGCACTATATTGTCGAGAAAAATGTTGTCTGGCCATTCACCAGGACATGGCAGCATTCCTGGCTTATAAAAGGACAGTTGTCTGGCACTCTAATGAGACTGGGCTTTTGTTACTGACATAATTGAGGGCCAAACCAGATTTGGCATGATATGGAGAAAACTTTCTTTCTGCTACTGCTGCAGCCTTAACCCAAGTGCCCTTCCTATTTTTCCTGAGTTGCAAAGCGGGCAAATACAGCCCAACACACGATGCCTCTGACAGGTGAGATGCAGCCATGTGGAAACAACCCTACTTAGCTGTGTCAGAAACCTCACTCAAACAAAAACCTTTAAATTTATAGACACCAAAAGAAAGTACTTGAAAAATGGTATGGGTAGGTAGACTTTATTTTCCTCTAGAGACAGGAAAGCATGGAAAAAGTGGAAGGGACTGAGAATTGTTGGAACAATACTACAAAACTGAATCATACAGGGGTAGTCACCATCCCCTTTTGTGAGCAAAACCTTTCATTTCCTCTTAAGAACTCACCATTTGACAGCTGTCAAGAGAAAAGCAAAATAACAACCTATATGCAGCTTGCTTTGTTTACTTACATGGATTTTGCCTCATGGACCTTTGGCAGGAGACACTTACCAGGACATTGACCAGGCAAGGTTACTCATTTTTTCTATCCCTTAGGTGCTCGCTTGTATAACTTCGAATTAGCAACTCCACTGCCTCAAAATTATGAAAAGGCTTGCCCACATTTCTACCCCCCAAAAAACCTTTTAGACAGAGGTGACAAACCAGTAACAGCTGCTCTGATGTACCACTTGGGCACTTCCAGGGAGGTGGGGTCAGTAGCTGTGGCAGGCAAAGATCAGGAAAAAGAATGGGAGGAAAAAGTTGTAGCTGTGAACAAAAATGAAAGAGAAGCGCCAGTGCCAGTTACTCTAAACTGCTGCTTGAGCAAGGTCCTGGCTACCACCGGTGGTGGCCCAGTGAGCTTGACAGCCACATCGGGGGGGGGGGGGGCAGGGCTGCCACTCTTGCCAAGTGCACCTCTTGCACCATTTTCCTGGAGCCATGATGAAGTGAGTCACCTGGGTTCAGATGTCATGACAAATTATCACAGGCCCGACAACCCTTAGAACAAGCCATGGGTTGACAGAGGACTTGCTACCCCCAAGCAAGCCAACTTTTGGGAAGCGGTCCACTTTCACATGACACAACAACCCACCATGGCCAGCTATCCACAGTAGGTTGCTGTCTCATGCAAAGTAAGTCAATATCACACCATTATTTTGTGCCTATTTTAATCTTTGCCTACTGTAATTTTCCTGCCCTGTCTAATAGCAACAGTTCTGCAGAGTTACCTTTCTGCTTATTTTCCTGCATTGCCACAGCATACTGTGACCTCTCTTTTAGACCTTCAAGGAACATGACCACCAGCTCTGCAATGGCAACACTGTTGACTGACGTCAGGACAAACTCTTCGGCACGCAGTGTGGTAAGGGTGCAACTTTGTCCAAATGTCTTGACCGCCCTGTGGACCACAAAGCAATTTGTTAAAGGAAAACAGCTTCTTGAGCATCAGGAAAACACAATTCTTTTGCTGGAATTTCCATCTATGGCCTTCAGAATAAGAGCTCACATTTCCTGATGTCCATCAATCCAAAGTCATGATAATCTTTTAACATGTACAATAAGCAAAGGATTAGAAGAACGAAACAAAATGATTATTTTTTAAATATCTGAATGCTGTATCAGAACCATCTGGTTTAGTATGTCACATGATTTGCTTCAGTTCTGCCACATGTCCTTACATAAGCACCTTATCTATAACAGTGATTCACAGCCTGAATGACTCGATATGTAGGAGATAGGGAGCAGTATAGCATAAACAAAAATTTGAAAGTGTCCGGGTGGACAAAACTCTACAACTGTAGCTTGGGAAGAAGACATGATGCAAGCATGAGACTTCATTTCCCTTTTTCAGCTATGGTCACAGGAAGCCAGAAGAATCATATGTAAACCATCGTGATCATAAATGTTTTTTATGTAAACTGTTTTGATATATTATAATAATCAGATGGTGTATAAGAAATTTTAAATAAAATAAATATGTGGCAGTGTTATAACGAAGTGATGGGCAGCTGAGCAACTTTTGGTTCCTGGGGAGATGTGTTTGGGACCTGTCTTGTATGTGGGCGTTAAGCACCGAAGAACTTACCTGCCACACTGCAATAGTCTTCAGCGGAACACCACACCCTGAAAGTGCTTTGTGCGCCAAGCTTGCAAACTTACTTGCTACACAATCTGCAGACCTGCAATCTGGCCTCCACCAATGCTTGACTTTTCCTTGCGTTACCAAAAAAATAATTATTTTTAATGTTTCTCTAACTAGAATCTCCATTTACTCCAAAATTTGGAGTGCTACAGTGAGATGCACTTCAGCATCCTGTGCAGAATTTTGGCAAGACTGCAGCTGCAGCCTCCCTGGCCCTGTACAACTAGGAGACTCACCTGTTGGTGTGGATGCCAGTAATTTCTGGAAAAGACAGATCCAGGAGTCTCTTTTCTGAATCATCCAGGAAGCAAATACCTTTCCAATTAATTGCCACTATGAAATGGTTCTTGGGCAGACTGGGTCCTGCAACACAGTAAAAAGGTAGCGTAGCAATCTTTTCCTGTATCATGTCCTCTTCTCTCTGTGCCCTCCCCCACACAAAAGTGTTGTTGTTACCTGAAAATTTGGTGACTTCAAAGAACCTAGAAAAGAGCAGAGGCCACTGAAAGCGGGCGAAATTCACCAGTTGCTCCTTCACACTCTGAGAGGAAAGCCGGTCCTGAGTGTAAGGGGCCTACAATATATAAGCAGTAGACTGGATTCCAATGTGCACATCCACCAAAGGCAAGATATCAAAAGAAGGCTGTTGATTTTTCCAAAGAGGGCAGAAGGGCCTTCACTGACTACTGGCATGAATGCAGTCCTACTACTGATAAAACTGGCAACTGCAATGCCTTCATGCATCCATCCATCCATCCATCGAAGAGAAAGAGGAAGACGCTTTCATACTCCAGAAAGCCTCACGACTGTTTGGATTGCCCGTGTGACATTCAACATTAGGCTGCTGTTCTAAAATCCTTCAGAACTTTGTACTGGTCAAAGAATGGAGACACCAAGTGCAGATCCAGGTGTTGTTTTAAGCACTTCAACACAGCAAGAAAAACAGTTTGGAGGTGAGGGGATCCCATTCAGGTTTCACCTGCTTCTCTGTGCGTGCCGGCAGACGCAAGTGGCAGAGCAAAGCCCACTCATGCATGATAAGCAAGGGCAGCAGGACCTACTAGGGGAGGAGGACAAGATCTCATAGGTGGGACTCGTGCTAATGGTAGTTTCAGAGAATGGGAGATTTACAGTCAAGCAAAAAGCATAGGAAAAGAGAAGCTGTAGTAGAAAGGAAGACAAGTGGGAGATCATGGGCTGCTTGGAAGAATGATACGAAGGGAGAGAAGTGGGTGGTCTGCCTGAATGCTGTGACCCCTCCCAGGACCTTACACACTCTAGCAGCTTAATGGAGCCCCTCAGCTATTATAAACCTTGTCTACTTATTCCTGTGCCCATGGATTTGGTGCAGCACAAACCATGTGTAGTAAAGGTTTTGATCATATTTTCCTCTGCAGCCACCATTTCCTGGTCCATAAGAAAGCACAGAAGAACTAGCATATTATAAAGCGGGGTGGTGGTGGTGTATGTCTCTGACCCTGAGGGCTGAATTCAATTTTGGAGGGGTCCTGGGGGCAGTCACATTCCAGTTGTAGGCAAGGCTAGCAGCAAAAATGGCAAAGGCAAAATGCAAACTATGCCAGCATATTTTAGCTTAAAGATCTTATTTGGCCAGAACTAAGTCGTTGAAGAGGCTTTTCAATGGGAGAAGCAGTGGACAAGCCAAGAAAACCCAATGGCTCAGCAAAAAGAAGCTGGAGGGCTTGATGAGAGCCTCATGTGGGACAGGTTTGCCCCACTGGCCTGAGATTCAGCACCCTTGTTATAAAGATTATGTAGTGAAAAAGAAGCTAAGATCATGTCAGTTGTGATATCATACCTTAGCATGAGCATACGTGATTAGGCTGACCCATTTCTCGAGGGATTTGGATTTTAATAGCTTTGTTGGAATACACTCCTGGAGTATGTTTTGAACCAACTCATTTTGGATGGTCTCTCCAAACTTGACATAGCAATATTTGGCTCCTATCTCCACCAAGTCTTCCTCCTATAACAATTAATCAGGTTAGGTAATGTTCCAGAAGACACTTGGACCTATGCTCATCTATTTCCCAGGGATGCTTTGGCCGAACCAAACAAATTAGCCATTTCTCTTCTCCCAACAGAACTAATCTAGAAATGTATACAGTGAACTAATCAATTAATCTATAGTGTATACAATGTAATTACAGACAGCAAGCTACACTAATAGCATTGAGTAGCATAGAGATTCAAATGCACAACAAAGGAAGAGCCATGTGGCAAAAAGTGTCCTTTAGAAATAGTCATTATCAATATCCAGATAAATGCATCTCTCCAAGTGCCTTTGGGCTTCTTTCATTACTCATCACCGCATCAAATAATTACCTTCTCACAGCGGTATTCTCCAAACCTGATGCCACGGATGATTTGATGATAGATGAGCTCAGTGCTGATAGGATCTTCTTTCGAGTTGTGCCAAGGAGTGAAGATCTCCTTTCTAAAGTACAGTCGCCAAGGAGTGTGGCGCTCATGGCCTCCCTTTTCCTTTTCCAGTTGTTCACACTGGGAAATGGCATCCATGATGTGATCCCGTCCACTACCGAGTGACGAGGCCTAACAACATAGACATGGCCCATTTTAAGGATAAATATGCTGTTCATTTAGGAAAGTCCCCCATGGAGACATTTGGTTTCACTTAAGTAGGGGGTAATAGTTACCCAGTGGTTTAAAAAGAAAGCAGGAAATGCACACATTGCGTTAGAAGAAATGGCAACACAATATAAAGCGAGGCATGCGCGGGGTGGCAGGAGGGGCGGGCAGTCTCATGTTCTGTTCTCGGGTTATTTTAAAGGAGGGATCTTGATAAAAGCACCACTGTGCCTGAAAAAATCTGGTATGGCGGGGGCTGGAAAGTACCATTATATTGCCTATTGGTGTATGTATATGAACAGATAGGCAGAGAGACATATATGGATATAGTTATATATTTGGAAGCAAAGTATATCTTCATGAACAAACAAAATAAATAGATTTGATGGCACATCCCCCTGTGTAAATTACACCAATTTTCATGGCACCACTCCCCCCCTTCTCGTGGAAGCTTTTTGTCCCTTCAGATAACTGGTTGTGTGAATGATGAGCACAAGCATGACATTAATGGACTGTGTGAATTGTCCAAAATTATATACAACTAATCACATGCATGTTGGCAATTCATGACATTCACATGACCAGGATAGCAATGAGTACATTCAATCCATGCAGGCAAAATTCACCAGCTGCACCAATCAAAAAAGAAGATAGAATTGTGGTCGTGTGGACTGGCCTTCACTTCTAGAAAATACCTTCCCAGCTGTGATTATATGAAAACATGGCAAGCAATTAAGCTTGAGAAGATGCTTAGAATATGGGAAATTCCATTCTCATATGTAGAGGCACAGACTATACCAGTGGCAAAGAGAAGGCAGAATAGAAAACACCTAGTGAAATCCTGTGGAAACTTTTCTTAAATATTTTTTCCTGCCAAGAGATGGAAAAACACAGGTGGAAGTTGGGTGACTGATATTTTTAAAGAAATAGAAAAGACTGACTGATATTCCCTTGAACACAGTGGGGCAAATCTAATCACAAGCAATGATATTTCTTATACCTTGTCATACAAAGCAATGTACAGAGAGAAGCCAAAGGTATCCTTCAGCTTCATTTTATCAGCTATCAGCTGACAGATCTCCTTTGCAGTGGAGGCTGAATCTGCAGGAACGGTGATACTGCTGCCGTTCATCAGGGTCACACTGAGTGTAATAGGCTTCTTACTCTTGGTTGCCTGAATGGGGGAGAGGTGGAGTTAAAAAAATACTCAGGAACGATATGGAGTTACTTACAATCAGTAATATTCAGGTAACACCACCTACAACTGAATGTGGAGTTAAATGGAGGTTCCAAATTGCACTTAGTATTATATTGACCAGAAATGTACTTTCCTATGGCCAAGACCCTTCTACTCCCAAATAAGTCCCATGCAGATAAGGCCTTTTCCAGTCTTATTTAAATTTGGCTATTTGCAAATCCTGTCCATGTTACTACTTTCTGTTGATTACGCATAAAAGCTTAATAATGAATAGTCTCTTAATTGCCCCTCAGATATCTTAATCTTGGTTGCCCCAGTGTTTGCTTTTGTTTCAGGACTAGAGAGAGGCTCCTAATTATTAGTTACCTCCCACTATTATTGTCCTTTTCTATGATGAAATATTGGAATTTAATTAGAAAAAAGATAGCAAATCAATATTTAAAGTCTTCCCCCCCTTCCATTGGAAAAGAAAATGGAGGTCCCAGGGTCTGCAAATCTCAATGGCTTTTTACATGTCTAAACTAGACAGGCAGGTGCTGTAACTGCGTGATATTGCCAGAAAATCAGCATGAATGAGGTCTGGAAAAAACATGGGAGAACAACACAGAAAACACAAACCGCAATGATTTGGCAACATTGCCTAAATCATCCGCGAAATGTGAGTGAAAAATTCCAATACAATTTCAAAGAAATTGGAAGCAAGCCCCGTTTGTACTTTAATTCATGACTGCAAACAAAATTCTGCCAAGATAAAATTGGACACATTGTATTACTGAACCATAAGGAGATTAACTGCCTTCCTGGCCCATCATGACCAGAGTTACCAGTGCGAGGAAAGGGAAGGGGAACTGGAATGCAGGCAATGGCTACCTGCAGTTCCAGCCACCCAGGCGGCTCAGACCGTGTTCCATTCAGGTATGTGCGCCTCAGCCTTTCTGAGCAGTATGATGCGTACAGGACTGGTCCACTCCGGATGAAATTCAGCAGGTACTGGAAGCATAAGGCAGAACAAACTGTTAGGAAACACAGGTGCTCATGAGGGTTAGGGGATCTCCCAAAGCAGGTTATGTAGAACTTGCGGTTTACTGCCAGCGCTGCAGCTCTCTTTCTGAGTAACATGCCCCTAGAGATAAGAAAGCCCTTGGTGCCCTCTGACAGCCAGGCTTTCTATGAGGAAAGTGAAAGCCCTTCCTCTGCTTCCAGGTAGGCAGAGAAGCACAAAATGTTCTGCGTCACCCCAACACCTGACCGCTACTAACTTTGCAGTCAACACCATCACCTCCTCCTCATTCCTCCTCCTCTTTGGTGATAGTTGAACCCTCTCTGACATTCTTCACTCAAAGCTTTCCTTATGAATCTTTCTGTCCCTGTCCCTGTGGGGAGGAATTCTGTGCAACCGGGCATGCCTGTGTTCCTCCCTCAGAGACCCGAACTGGGCCATCCTACAACTGTGATGATGATGGACTATCGGTCCACCTCCTCCGGAAGCTGAGTTCCCCGTCCAATAGACTCCCCATCTGTAAATCTTCTTCTTCAAGATGTTGTTGGTGTGTCTCACACCCCCACGGATGAGTTGACTAGACCTCTTGGTTTAGGAAAGAATGTGTCTACTTTAACCCTGAGATCATCAGAGAGTACCTGGGGAAGGGCCTAGTAAGGAGGGTGGCCACTAGAAGAAGGGTCTTCTCGGTTATGGCATCCTGGGACTCACTCTCCGTTTGTTTTCATGCCAGACAAGATCTTTTTATTTTTCCAATATTTTAACAATTAGATTTAATTCTCATTTTTACCATATTTTACCATACCTCTGAATGAGATTTAGCTGTGATGGTGGTGGGAAGGATTCTTGTATTATGTGTATTGTGGTATTTGTTAATTGGATTGATGTGTTTTTATTATATGTGTTTTATAGGGTATTTTTTATTTGTAAACCTCCCAGGGAGCCATTGATGGGCAGTAAAGCAATGTTAATAAATACACTAGCTCTTGAAGTTTGGGAAAGAAACTCACTGGTGAGGCAGCCTGGCAGGATTCTCTGGGTAGACAACAAAACTGGAGAGGACCATGAGGACCAGTCAACCACATTTAATGAAGAAGGGATTCAAAGCAAGATGACTCGTGGTGATACTGAGATCCACAAAAATTAGTGTGTGCAGGAAGAGCAAAGAGAAAAGGAAGGAGAGGGGTCAGATGCCTTCCCTCTAAACAAATCCTTCTTGCACGAATAGATGGAGTTATGTCAGTTCAAGGAGCAGTTGAGCAATTACACACATGCAAAAAGGTAGAAGGTGGTTGTGAAACTGCATGGCAGGCATCAAGATCTAAAACATAATGCTTATCACCAGGAATAAACAACCACATAATCAGTACCTTAACAAACTTGTCTGATGGAGAGAAAGAACCTAGACAAAGGGACAGCAAGATCCATCCTCTAAGATAACTGGTTTTGTTGTTGTTCTCAGTGAGCTGCTTACAGATCTGACAGTAAATCTCATCCCTGTGAAGGAGAGAAAAAACAGAAAGGCGGCTTTCAGCCCAGTCGCAAGCAATTTGCCACGCTGATTCATGTACACCTCCTGATCACATGGATACATACTTACACTGATTTGATCATATTGTACTTTGCATTTTGTATGTACAATTGCATGTTAACTCAGAAGTAAGTTGAACTGTAATTCTCTTGCCCTGTGCCACAGGTAGCCCTTTAAAAACAACTTTATTTTTTCCATATGTACATTCTAATACCTGATGGCAGGACGCTGAATTGCATTGCCAATGATGAAGTGCACTTTTTCAAGGTTAGACATAGATCTATCAGATACAGTGCTCTCTTCCTGGAATATGTTTTCCCCGTTAGTCACCTAAAATGAGGCAGAAAGCCACTGAAATAAGGATTGTTTTAAAAGACATACACTTAATATTGGAACAAGAAGTTGTCAAATATAATCACTTCTAAGTAATCTACAGTCACACTTTTGTGACATTTCCCTTCTTTTCTTCCTTCCTTCCTTATTTTGCTCCAGTGAAAAACTAGCAATCTACCTTCTTGTGTCTATCAATCCATTTATCATTTCCTTGTATTACCTTGACTATTGCTTCCTTTAATATGTATTCTAGACCCTTACTTCCTATGAGAATTAAGCTAATAGTTTTGGTCTGAGACACTTTTACTTCTTTTTCAACAGAAGTCTGTTATCTAATTTTCAGTCATCAAATACCCCCTCCACAAATGACTCATTAAAAGAATTCCTTTATGTGCTTATTTCCCATGTCGGTTCTTTTATGGAGAGAAAAATTATCTAGGACTTATTTTGTATTCACTGACAATTTCAAGCTTTTGTTCCATCTTTTCCATTAGATTCTGCAAGCTGGTTGACATTAATTCACCTCTAGCCTTTTTTAAAACCAAGCGCCATGCGATCACTGACTCCAAAAGCACTTGGTGCATATTTGGGCCACAGTTCAGTTAAGTGACTGTTGCTCACGCGGCCAACCTTTACAATATGAGTTCAGTAGTACTTCCTTCTGAATATATCTGCATAAGATTGTGACCTCAATTTCCTATTAATTTTTTAACTATAACTCCTGCCTGAACCATTGTCTTTGTGTCTTCCTTACAAAGTTTAAACAATTATCAAAGTCACCTTTTGAGTCCTGTGCAAAACTGAATTCTTCTACTCTTCCTTACTACAAACATTTGACTGCTAATCAGGGCACTTGACGTAAAGTCAGATCGCCCCTGTGATGCAATACACTGCATTTTTACATACGCTTTTGTTATGATGTACTGCTGCCCACCATACCTATCATGCATATCATATCAGTTTGCAGCCAAAGCATAAGAAAACAGAAAATAAGCCTCTGTATGTGGGGAGAGAACCTGAGGCCCTTTCAATGTAGCAGAATGCATGTTCTATCAGCCTCGGCCAGCCTGGCCAATAATCCAAGATAGCAGGGGCTGTAGTTCAACAGCACCCGGAGCATCATAAGTTCCTCACCTTTGCTCAAAGAACTCACTGAAGTACTTTAGTCACATTTTATGTTGTGGACATTCTGTACAAGCAGCAGGATTGCAGACACACACACAATGCACACTTACGCACAGATACTGCATGAACAGTATAATGTGTAAGTTAACAGTACTAGCTTACAGCTATGTGCACAGCCCCCGAGTTTACATAACCTCCCTAATCATTTTTGAAATGGAAGGATTTAAGGAATCAGGCACGTCCCACTTCACAATATACTTATGGCGAAGATGATCTGCCACATTTCAGTCTTTCAATCTCTCAGTAAGCCACACACAGAGCATGTTCCCTGGGAGCCATTATGGTAAGAAAGCTATTTAGGTATTTTAGTAATTATATCTCTCCTTTCCAGAAATACTGTTCAAAGCTCAGTAGAGAGTGAGGAGGGACAAAACATAACTTACCTTTCTAGGCATCTTGGAGCTATGTTTTAGTTTCACAGATGAAATTACCTTGGAGAACTTGTCCCTCCGGTTGTCTATCTAAGATAGAAAGGTTTATGATAAAGTTTTAACTTGCTTCCTAAAGGAGAGTAGAAACTGCTAAATTAAAGAAAACTCATCAAGCAATGTGGCACAGACCTATAATAGGAAGTGAGCCACCATAGCCTAGAGCTTCTTCTCTAACGTCTCAAGCTCTTTTCTGAGAACTAGTGCAGGGGTGCCGGCCTGCTTGCTGGCAGGTGCAGAACTGTATTGCTAGTTGCTAGCAACATGTGTGATGCTGCTACATCAAGATAACCCTGCATCTACCATGTTCCCCCAGTGTGAAAAACACAAATGGATCCACCCTTCATTAGATTACTCATTTGCTCAGGACTTCGGTAAACTTGCAAACTGAATCACTCTATCAAGTCATCTCTTTAAAAACACATAGAAGATAGTTTGGTTCATGTCCTGACCGATGAGTGTCTAACCTAGACAAGGTGCTCTGAGGACCAAGAAGGAGAGAGCAAGGATGCCATCATATCACTATAGCATGTAAGGGTTTTAAGAGTGCACAGTGTAGTCAGGCTGAGCAGCTAGATTTACCAGATGAGCCAAGGCTACTAGAATTAGAACCGCACCAGAAAGTGAAGAGAGGGCCTTCAGAAGACTTTCAAATTAAGTTTGGCTAGAGCGAACTTTTTTTTTTTTTAGTAGAACAAGGCCGCTCCCTGATTTAGCACAGCATTTGCACAAATGACTGTCGGCTCTGCTTGAACAGCAATAGCAGCTTACATTATGCTTGAGAGCAGGATGAGGGTCATGCCAAGTAGTCTAGAGAGGAAAAAATACTAGACACTCTAGGCTATCTTCCTGCCAGTGTTATAAATCATGAACTGAGTAATGTGAATGGAATGCAGTGCTTTCTCTTCACTCAACAGAGTCCTAATGAACTATGACCCAATTCGCTTGAAAAACCCAAATGGCTTACAATTAACAATAGTGCAGCCACAGACAGCTAGCCGGTCCCTATTAATTATACCGATTCAAGTCTGCAAGCACTAATTACAGGAAGTCCAGAATTAAGCCCCCAAATCCCAGCCATGCCATGGAACAATCATCTCTAAAATCCCTTTATCCTGGCCAAAGTTGAAGCACTTGGTCCATACACAGAGCACCATTTATACAATAAGGCGCTACAGGTGTTTGAAGGCTCCCTTGAGTTTGCATCACTTTGATGGCTGCAAGGCCAAAAGAATTATCAAGCACCTCCCAAGCCACAACACTTGGTGCTGTGCCATTGTTGGGGGCTGTGAAAGTTGAACTAGGAGCCTTTGGGCCTGTGCGTAGCTGTCCATGTGGTGACCCACTGAATGGCATGTTGCAATTAAGCATTCTCAGGCCCTTGGCTGAACCTGCCCATCCTGGCTGGCAGCCGGTGTTCTCATTAACCCTCATTTTATTTTGACGCATTCCTCTGTGTCCCTTGATTGACCTTCAATCTCAGCTTGTTCCTCACTCCATCCTGGTGGTATGTCCTTCAGTCCTGATGGCTGGCTTCATTCCACAGTTCCTGATTCGTGTCTCCTGGCTGGGGCTGGCATCAAATACAGACATGGCTGGGCTCCACTCCCCAGCAGTGGCCTACTGGCAAGAGCATCTGGAGCTGCTCTTCCTGCTCCTTACTTTTGCAACCTGCTCACTCATTCGCCTTTAACTCTCGCTCAAACAAGGACAGTGAGAAGGAGAGCAGTAGATGCACCTGCCTACCTGCTCACAGACCCACAGCCTGCCAAGTAAGCAACTGGCAACTGCAGACCCCTGTAGTCCTGGCTCACCTCGGTCTGCTGTGTGCAGTCCTGCCCCAGTAGCTATATATAGTTTAGGAGGCATAGACTGAAGGTCTGCTTCACTCCTACAAAATTACCCTTCCTGTATGTAACAAAATCAAAGGCAAGCCTTCAAGCTTCCCATCATCAGGGCCCACCTGTACATTACATTAAAAGCACTTATGATCAGAACTTGCCATATCTTTTTCTTTCTTCATTTAAAGATAAAGAATTAACTTTGGAGCTCCTAATCCAATTGTGGCATGTGGGGAGGAAAGAATTACACTTTCTCTTGAGACCATTTCCCTACAAAAATTCTGAAACCACACAGAAGCTGTCATCACATATAAAATATTTGGGGGCAAATGTGTCTGTGTGCATGAGAGAGAGAGAGAGATTGTCAATGGGAAAATAGCATGGAACCTTCCAACGCATTTAAAGAAAGAGTGTGCGCTAGTAACTATGAAGAAGACCTGCCGCTTACCAGATTAGGACTGTAATCGCCAATGCGGTGTAGCTGGCCCTTCTTGCCAAAGGTATCATAAATCTGAGTCACCTCAGAGCTGCTCTTGCTGCTTGTGCTCTTCACTCCCTCTGGCAATTCACCCATGAATTGCAAGATGATGTTCCACACAGCCAGGGATGCCTGGTGAGGACAGAGCAAACTGGGGATATTTTTACTGATGCCGCAGTTCTGAACAGCAGATTGCAATGAACTGTCACAGCGCTAGTTTGAACACATCAGGTGGGATTTATTAAACGTGTGTTAATCTTTTTCGACTGGATGTTGGTCTGAGAGCTTTAAACACTGATAAACAGACTAGGGTGCATGTTTCTTTGCATGCTTAAAAAGAGTTTGACAAAATTTACCAGAAGATTATTTTCACTACGTTGAGCAATTTCAGACTTCCTTTAAAAAGTTTGAAAAGGGTCAGAATTTTAGATTCAGCCACAACAGCTGGAATTATAGCTAATAATCTCTGTTCAGCTTTTTTCACTTTGGAGAGGTACCAGACAGGGATGTCCTTTTTTTTTTTTTTTTTTTGTGCTTTGCTATTTGATGGATTTGGAACCCCTGGCATGTGCTATTAAACAGAATAGTAATATTCGCAGTTTTGTTGATTGTTTATCATTGTTATTCTTGTTTGGAATTATTATTTAGCATGATTATTCTTTAAACTAATGATTTTTTTCATTGTTTATCAGTCATTTGTTCCAGTGTTGATGCAGTTCATCAATGCTTTTCTTACTGTGTCTAGCTATTCAGCTAACTCATCCAAGTCAGAACTGATGCAAACTGAAGATCAGGAAGGGCAATCCCATGGCTCCCTAAACAGCATTTTAGGAACCATGGGACTGTACAGATCCCAAGCTCCTGTGCTGGAAAGTTGCTTTGACCTCAGAGCTGTGGATGTGTACTTGGATTCCTCCCACAACAAGCACAGAAAAAACGGCACCACCTGTTACTTCAAGGCTGAAAAAGCAACCATGGAGGAGGGGTTTAGGGACCATTCCAAGGGACAGAGATGGGAAGAGACGGTGTCCATCAAGGTATTACTTATCCTGGCTGCACCTCAGCCTTCTTCCCTCGCACTTGGAACCACCACAGTTAGATCAGTTCAATTGGCTTAGTTGTTTTGCAAGTTGGGAGGAGCAAAGAGGCAAATTTGACTTGTTCAGCCAACAAGTCAAACTCATAAACCAGGGTTTGTTCTTGACTGATGATAGCAGGTTGTTGAGAGAGGTACAATCCAGACATCTTGATATGGACATCATGCTAAACAAACCACAGGAGAGCGTCCCTTAATTTACTCAGCTGTTCCCACAGGCAAGAAGAATTAAGAGGGAGCTTATTAGGCACCCTTTCTGGTTCACAGTAAGCCAGAATTAAATAATAATAGTTCTGGCTTACTGGGACATACAAACACTGAGTGTAAGGGTGCTTAAATTATTGCAAATAAAAATAAGTAAATTACCAGAACATCATCCTTTTCATCATGATAGAGCAGGGGATGGCGCAGGGGTCGTCGAATATGTGTATATGTAGCAGAACCCTGGAAGTAAGTGGCTGCAAATTTGGGGAATGTATAATCTGCTAGGTCATCGGTCTCCTCCTCTTCCAGCTCCATGGTCATAGGTATCGTATCCAGGTCCACCTCATTCAGCTTGTGTGTCTGTGTCTTTGTTTCCAGGTCCTACCGCGCACAGAAGCACAAAGCATAGAATGGTTCTTCTCTCTCTCAAATGGTTCTCCTCTGTTCTCTTTCTTGCCTCACAAAGATGTTGAAGCTCCCAGACAGTGCTCCCCAAATAGCATTCCCATCAGCTACTAAGTAGCTACCATAATGGTGGAATGTAATAGCCACCTCTTCTTTGAAGTCATGGCCGGTATCCAATGTGCTCCATTCACCAGGTTGCCCCAGTAGCGCAATGGAACCTAACGCTTTGTAAGGCAACTGGGAAGAGTAGAAACCTTACTTTCTGCAATAAAGCTCAGCAGTGCTTGCAAAATTCCAAAAGTATCTCAACTCATTTTCAGAGTGGGCTTTGGAAGTGCTAGTTCCTATTGCACTAGCAGTCAGTCCCACAGGCCACAATGGGACTAATAGAGGCACAGCAGCTTTTCTGGGCACTGCCCAATATTTCTAGATGATCATTTCACCAGATGGAGATGAACTGGGCTATAATCCCTTTAGAACCACTTACCTCAAAGCCCAGGGGAGCCTCCCCTTCCTGCCCTCCAATTAAAGGAGGTAAGAAGCCGAACACTCTATCCACCATTTCCTGGTCACTGATGGGATCATATAGTGCCTCCTGTTTTTTGTCCTGCTTTTTCATCTTAGCAGCATTCACTTCATGATGTGGAAGAGCCAGGCACTCCTGCAGGTACAATCAGAGGAATCCACTTAGCTGGAATCAAGAGCTGGTTTAAAAGGGACTTTTATGTGTGTAAAATCTTCATGGGGACAACATGCAGCCACCCCTGAAGGTTTGGAGTTGGCATCACTAGAATTAACCAGATTACAGTATTAGGTTGCAATTCCGAAGACATTTACTAGAGTCAGTAAGCCCTTCATAATTCCTCAAGATGTTTCAGAAAACAAAATTATAGTAAAATTATCTTGGGCAATGCATGTATGTATGTATGCATGTATGTATGAGCATACATCTAACTAGCTTAGGCATGTCATTATACCCAGGACTAATCATTTCAACCAACTTAACTCTCTGGTTTGACCCAGTATTCAGCTGTCTTGTTCTTTGACAGTACTAAAGTCACTGAGATGTGAAATTTTTAATCACTGGATTTGGCTGCTGTCAAACCTTTTATGATGCAACACATGATCATTATCCAGTCATACCGACCTGTCTCCTCATTCTATGGAAACTCCTGCGAGCCAGCATCCCCCTGGCATAAGCCTGTATCACACGAACAGCTTTTCGCTGTTCGCTTGTCTTCTGGCGCATGAGGTAGCCTCGACACAAAGCCTGGAACTTAATCACACTTGCTCGGGCTGTCTCGTACTGCTTCACAAGCTGTCTGCTCCGGAAAAGGGCTTGCAGGCGCTCGAAGCCCAGCATGATCTATCAGACAAGAGGAACAATAGGATAAGAGGAAAGGTGTAATCCTGCTGCACATTAATGTAAAGCTTTAAAGAGTTTTTTAGACTGATACAAGCCTCTGCAGCCTACGTCACATGCTAGCTGGGAGAAGGTGGAATGTCAGGGAAGAATATGTGAGCAGTAGAAAATGAAGCAAAGGAGTCAATGACAAGAGTGGAATAGGATATACTGAAGCCAAGGGCATAAATAGCCACCAGTGCAGTGGGTCTTTTCAAGTGACTATTGGGATGCAGTGAATTTCAGAATGGCCACTTTTATGCATTAAAGGGAGGGTTGAACTACCTACAATGTTAACTCTGTAGTTCTGCCATTGGATGCAAATTGATTCTCCACCCTGCTGCCAACACACACACTGCCAGTACAAGTTCACAACCTGGATCAGGACCCTAGCAGGCAAGGTAGGGTGTCCTTTGATGCTGTTCTGATCTAGATTGGCAGTGAGCAAGAGCTGGACCGACAATCTGCCTTGCAAAACAGATTTCAGTTATGGAACTAAGGGTGTCCTTCTATGCATGCTTAGAAAAAAGTCTTCCTCCCAGGATTCCTCATACTGACCGGCCAGAGTTATGGGTGTTTGGAAAAGTATACATGTCAGGACAAAAAGACACTCTCAAGGATTTGTAAAGCAGGAGTTCTTACTATCGCAATCGTCTGGATTTTCTTTTTACTTATCAAGAATCTATTTTATATCTTACAGTAGTTCTTATTTCCTGTGACCCTGACCTTTCAGCTATTTAGTACATTTAAAATAGTAGCTTCTTCATTCAACTGTTCTTGTGAAAAAAAAAAGAATGTTTTCCTGTAGTAGCACAGGAGAAATTACCACAAATAACATCTTTTAGCAGCATTCTTATTTCACAGCAAGGATACTGAACACAGAGTATGTCCTTTGTTACAAATCCAATACAGCAATGTTATGCTCGATGTGCTTTGATTCAGCAAAATGGCAAACAGAGAGAGGAAGAACAGGTTGCAGTCTGCTTTCTACTCACATTCTTGCTTCTCCTGGAGGCCTAGCAGCTCCCAACCTGCCACAACACTCTGCCCCTTATTACATCCATCGCAGATGAAGAAGGCTAGCAGCCCTGGCTAATCCACTGGCAACCAGCCAAGCAAAAGATGGGGAGCAGGGCTACATCACTGGCTTTGTTAAGAGAACAGCTCCATCTGGCTCTCCCTCTCCATCACCCTCTCTCTGAAGTGCTTCCAATCTGGCTGGTCATTATAAGAAATACTACGCAATTTCAAGAATCGGAACACAAATTCGCTAGTTTTCCTCTCCCATCCTCATTCCTGTTTCCCTTTGTGCCATGCAAAATTTCAAAATTTGTATGTCTTGTATTATGCTAGCTGACATAAAAATATGAAAGTAAAGTAAGTAGTCCAGGCTTAAAACCTGTGTCCATTTCTCTTCCCCTTCTGGAAATAGTCCCCTCAGAATCCACTGCTGCTCTCCACAGCATGTTCACCAGTATTTCAAATAGGAATGAAATATTCTAGTATACAGGGCCCTCTTTCCTGGCAAGTCATGTGAAGATGTCATGATAGGTGCCGTGTGATGCTAGAAGATAGCCAAGAAGCCATTCTTAGTAAAGTTTACATGGACACTTCAGTATGATGGTATCATCAGAGTACAGTAACTGACATGGCCATGCCAAGAACTGAGCTGCGTTTTGCAGACATAAGAGCTGTTATGTAGAACTGAGCTGTGCCTTTTGCAAGTGAGAACAGCTGTACTTGGAATCTTCCAGGGAGTAGCCTTGCATGGAAATGAGCTGTTTCAGAAGCTTGGTGGGGAAGTGACCAAATTGGTAAGAATCACATCTGGCCCTACCCATAGCACTTGTTATGTCCTTTGCCTGCAATAAGGCCTTCAAGATCCTTCCCAGATCTGGATTTGACTCAGGGCTGAAAAAGGCTAGTAATCCTGGACTGAAAGCTCTTGTTCTGAACTGGCCACCCTTTTATAAACTCTTGTGCGAAGCTTGAACTTAACACTCTTCTGCATTAGCACTGTCAAATTCCCAAGTCTCAGGATCTTCTTCCACTTTGTGTAGGCTTCTTAATTTCATGAAACAGAATTTTAAACACCAACACACGTGCAGACACAGGGAACCCGGACAGGAAGGTTGTGACAACACATGCTCTGTCATGAATTACTATCACAAATGGTTGTACGGTTGCACATTTTTCTCTTTAGAAGCCCTGGCACAAGGAGACTCGTGCCAGCCACATTAAAAGAAATCGAACTTTTGCAATTGCTTTCTTACAGAACCCTATACTTACCATGCAATCCTACATACATATATATATATATAGACATATACATATACATACACACACACACACACACACACACACACACACACACTAAAATATAAGCCACCTGGAGACAATTAGGCCTTACTCTCAAATAAGTGTGGGGCAATTAGGCCTTACTCTCAAAAACAGCCTGCCATCCTGTGCACTCTCAGAAGCAAGTCCCATGGAACTCAAACTGTGTGCTTTGCAGAACACACATTTCAAAATTACAAAATGCAGGGTCAGAATAGTGTCTGCCCATGTTGCTAAATATCTCTGGTTCTAGACAGTCCAGAGATGTGCTTTAGAAAAAGAGAAAGCAAGCAAGCTAAGAATTCAAGCCAGCTAAAAATACAAATGGACACCGGGTGCATGGCTAGAATTTGGGCATGGTCCAGCTCACCAGGCAGCATGGCAGCGCTACTGAGAATGCAGAGTCCATTTTAATGTTGTCTCTCAGAGATCCATGAAACTCCCTTACCATTTTGAAGTTCTTCCGACAGCAGTAGCCCCTCCAGGCTGTTTGAATAACCACAGCAGAGTGTCTCTGTTTCAGAAACTGTTTTCTACAAGCAGAAGAGAAGTCTCCGCTTATTTATTTATTTTCAATTGTAATTATAAATTGCTTTGCAGCCTAAGAAGTTTCTACAAAGAGAAGATATTTAATATTGATTCTCAAATGGTGGACCCAACAGCAACAAAAAGTAGACAACAGGATCTGGCAAGATTGTAAATGGATTACAGATTCTGTTCCCACCCCACAGAAAAATTGCCGAAGCATTGCATTTAATTCCTCCCCACCTCATGCCATGGGTTCAATGTTTCTTAATTCAAATAGTTGCATCTGAACTCTCTTTGCCATAAGATCTATCAGCAATGACACAAGGCCTGCTCTGAAGGTCTCCTGCCCTCTATGCTACTGCTTCACCATTCAACAGGTACTACTGAGATTGAAGGGGAAAGTAAACCTGTTAAAATTGCTACGCATGCTTGTGGGAGGGATCAAGGAAACACTTCCATTCAGTTAGACCAAGTGATCCTGTTATTCACATCTGTTATTTCTTAATTTGTGTGCCCCCAAATTAAGAAAACCTGGTGGAAAACATGGGCAGCCCCTCTAAGGTACTGATGAAGCAGCTTAATCATACCTGCAAAAATGGGATCAGGAAAGGCAACTTTTTTTACAACCTCAGTAAAATAAATAAATAAAAATTAATAGGGAAACCCAAAGTGTGACAAGATGTGCGGGGGACCTTGGTGCTCCAGCCGTTACCTACAGGGGGAGAGGGAGCCCACTCTTTGCAAGGGGCTCACAAACATATGTAGGCCACATAAACAAGAGGATGGCTTCTCAGCCTGATAAACTGTGGCTATAATGAGGGTGGCCATGAGAAGAAGAGCATAGCTGATCTCATGCAAACCCACAATGTAGTCACAAGTGGGATCTGCAACATAATGTTGCAGTGTATCCTCCCTCCTAAATGGACCACTCCTGCTCAGGGCTCCAGCCAGCCATTCCTTCAAAGCCTGGCTTTCTCCTGTTCAATCAACCAGCCCCGTTCCATTTTTTTTTTTTTTTTTTGCCAACTGTCATACTACTTTCCATAACCACTGAGCATTCTCCATCCTTATCAGGTTGTTGTTCCTGTTGTTTTGCCCATTAGGTATTTTTCCCCCCCCCCCTTCAAACTGCATGGTTCCAACAAGCATGCTGATACTTCCCTCCTCTTCCTCAGAGGCCCCATGTTGTCCGCAGTCCTGGCAGCACTCACTGCCTGAGTTCATTATTAGGAGAGACTGCAGTAGAATCTGGCTTTTGCTGGGATTTTTTTTTCACCCTCCATTTCCCCTCTTCCTTTCCCTTACCAGATGTACTTTCTGTTTCATTCTCCCTTCAACTGCTTGTTGCTACATATTGACTTGGTTTGCATGATCATTGCAGCTCAGTCATGGCGGGATGTGGCTCATGCCAGAATGTTTTTGAATATGTAAGCCATGCCTGCAGCTTGTCACTTCTTCCAAACCCAGCTGGGGTGGGTTGTGCAAGGATTAAACAACCTTGCCTGCATAACCCTAAAACAAGCCATGGATTATTTGAGGGTTGCTTAACTCTCATGCAACTCAGCCCCACTAATTTAGATGACAAAACAACCCACAGTTGTGACTTGAACACTCCAAATGGCCACACACACACACTGTAGCCCACCATGGCTTAAATAACCCTAAGACAGTAGAACCTACAGCTTCATTCCCATTGTGGGGCAAGCAGACTGTGAACTGGTGGGTCTTCCCCATCTTAGAATGAGTCGGGAGAACAGAAGGCCTGCACGGCAACATGGCAAACCGTGAGCTTCCACCATTTTCTTGCCTCCTAGCCACCTCCTTAGTGGCCTTCTCCACTCCAGGAAGAGTGGAAGTTTAGATGCATATACATAGTTTACTGTATTTACCTGTCTTTGTATCCCCTCAATATTTTCTGAATTAGGATGGCTTTCTCTGAGAGTGCTTTGTCTCGCTGCACCTCCAGTACTGTATCATGGTAGTCCTATTCACGAATGCAATTTTTAAAAAAATAATTAGAACTCTGTGTATTTACTGAATGGTTATAACAAAACCAATAATTTTTGCATACAAAATAGTATCTGACTTGAACTTTTCCCCTTAACAATCAAGTGTATTCAGGAAACAGCAATACAAAAAAAAAAAAATCTACTTTGTTACATTATAGGCTTGATTAGACAAGGGATTTAATCTGTCATTCTCTTGCTTACTTGTGTAATTTGGTGCTTTTTTTAAAATAAGTTTTATTCTTAATAAACCTAACAAAAAGGAAACTAAACAATCATCAATCATCGAAAACATCAGACCTACTGGATCAGCCCCCCCACATTTTTTCTTTTTATGTTAAACTAGAAACATATTTAAATCTATGCGTAGTCCCGTTTCTCTAGCCAGTGATAAAAAGAGTCCCAGGTTTGATAGAAGTCTGTATCTTCTTTCTCCTTCAGCGACAAAGTCAATCTGTCCATTTCTGCACAGTCCAAGATCTTTTTAAGAATCAGTTCGTCGGTAGGTGGTTGTGTAATTTGGTACATCAGAGTACTGCAAAGTACCACTGGTGTGACCCTTGTTTTTGAGACCTTGTGGCATCTCTGTGGGGATGCGGTTGTGACAGTAACTGTGACTGTCCCCAGAGCACATCTTCACACCCTGTGGCATCACTTCAATTTTGATTGGTGCAATAAGGTACCAGTGTGGGTGTGGTGGTTAAGAGCCTGGGACTGGGACTCAGACGATCTGGGTTCTAGTCCCTGCTCAACCACGGAGCCAACTGGGTGACTTTGGGCCAGTCACAGACTCTCGGCCCAACCTACCTCACAGGGTTGTTGTTGTGGGGATAAGATGGAGGAGGAGATGTAAGCTGCCTTGAGCCCTTTGTAGGAAAAAGGCAGGATATACATTGAAAAATAAATAAATAAATAAATAAATAAATAAATAAATGTTTGCCTTATTTTTACTGATTTCATTTTTATTTAGTGTACTTGTGTACTTCTGGAGTTAACTTCTTCCAAAAAATCTCATTTGCAAATTTCCACTACAGCAAACCTGTGCAATTGTCCTTCCTCATTTTTAAAAAAATGAGCAGGTGAATGGACTTACCTACATGCATCCCAGCAGAGGGACAGAGAAGTGCTGGAGGGAAATTCTAGTGGAGAGGTGGGTAAGAGGTGGCAGGAGGAGGGAAGCATGTGGATGAGAGTTTGTATTACATACCAGGGAGCATGGGACGAAAATTTAAGCAGTGTGATAGATACTGTGAAGTTCATATTGCAAGACAACACAGTGAGATGTGCATACAAAAACTCTATCATGTGATCTACCTAAAACCTCTACCTCTACCAAGGTGTATATCTATGCTATTCAACATTTAGCCAGATTTCTTTCCTGTTTGCAGAAGCTCAGCATTATAGATATGAGATGCTGTTCCAGTTTCAAATAAGAGCATGCTAGCCCTGCATGCAAGCACTAGCCCACATGTGATTAAAGATGTTGCAGACTCAATAACCCCCTCAAGGAATTAGACTGTGGGATGAATAAATCAGGCCATGCTAATCTCCTGATAAATTTCCAGTGTAATCCTATGCATGTCTACTCAGACTTAACTCTTGTGAGAAGACTTAGGTGTGATAAGACTACATGATGCTTATTTCTGAGTAAATATGTCTGGGATGCACTGTCAATCCTATGTGCACACACCTCAGAGTAAGCCCCATTGAATGCAATTGTACTTACTCCCAAGGAAGTAAACACAGACTTGCAATGCTAGTAGCACATTTTCTACCTAAGTGTGTGTGATGTCTGTTATGTATAAAACTTTATAATTGCCCCAATAACTTACTTTTAGGAAAATTTTAGTTCTTCCAATTTTCCACTCATTGTCTTTTCCTATCAAGTTCTCACAGATGTAAATGCAACACTGGCGAGCATCCATCTTCAGCTACAACATAAATCAATTATTACATTCAATTTTAGCTAGAAAAATAGGCTGCATGACAAACGTTTGCATGGCAAATTGTCTTTAAGCTGCAGTGCCCTTTCTAAATTCATTCTGTTTTGATTCACTGATTTTCTTTCATTTGCAACCCAAGGTCCCATAAAAGGAAAATTGATGAGATGGGTTTCATTCACAAAATAAGTACTAAATTCCTCTTTGTAGAATAACTAAGAAAAATATGCAGCATTTAATAATGACATTGGTACTATATATTGGATTTGTAAGAAGGATTTTTAGATGTATAGATAAACATGTTTGTAAGCACATTAAGGGCACAATCCTATGGCCTCCCAAGGTTGCATGGATGCCACAGGATCATTCAAAGACACAACTCTGTGGTTTGGTGACCTTGGAGCTGGGTTTCCACCACCACTCCTGCAGCCGACACAGAAAGAACTGTGCCAGTGGCCTCTTCAAGGATGCAGCTGAGCCTCAAGGGGTGTGCTGAGGGGGAAGGAAGGGGAGGAGGGTGCGGCCCAGAACTGATTCTTATTGGTGTCCCAGCCTCCTTCCCCTTCCTGATCCTGGATGGCCAAAATGAACAGCTCAATAAAATACATGGCATAAGGTGCATTAGTCACACAGATTTGCTGTCATGCCTCATTTCATGCATTGGATTTCCATAAGCCTCTAAGTGAAGGACATTAGATTGCATCTTAAAATCATAAGATGAATTTTTTCCATCTTCTTTTTAATATACCTGTTCTTGAGCTGACACTGGCTGCAGGACTTTGTATCTCTTAAAGAAATCTGCAAAAGTGTAACGAATTGGATAGCCAGATTTCCTAATGTGAATGGTTTCCATCATCCCAGAGTAGCGCAGCTGTTGGATGCAGAGGTCTCGGTCAAAGTGCTGAAAGCAAAGGAAAACATCCAGAGCATGCACCATAATCAGAAATATACCTGTTTCTAAAATAAAAATATTTATTTTAGAATAACATTTTCAGTTAAATCAGTGCACCAAATTATTTACTGAAGAACAAATACCGATATAGTTCCGCATTTGCTTGTCTAGGTTAAGGTAAATAAATCACCCCCTGGAAAATTTCTGTTAATCCTGCCCCTGGGATCAAAGGCAGCCAAAAATCCCTCCCACTTTCCTACAATATGATTTGTCCTATGAAAGGTGGAGGGAATTTCAGTCCACCATTTAATATTTTTCAGACATGTACAGAATGCTTCTTGAGGAAGCTTCCCAACTTCCCAATCCACACCAAATCAACCCCTGAAACCTTCTGAGAAGGCCTTGCTGCCTGTTCCGTGACCAACAGCATGTCATCAGTCAAAAGCATATAAACAGACCTTCCTGGTAGCAGTGCCCATCTCTAGAAAACTCTCGCACATGTGACTCAAGAGGCAGAAGATATCTTGTTGTTCCGTGCTGTCAGTTGTCTCCATAGGTGACCCTGTGAATGTATACCTTTCAGAATGTCCTGTCATGACAGCCCTACTCAGCTCTTGTGAATCCAGGACTGTGGCTTCCTTTATTGACTCTATCCAGAAAAGGAAGTTTGGTCTTCCTTGTCTTCTACCTTTGGTCTTCCCTTTCTTCTACCTTTAACTTTTCCTGCATGATTGTCTTTTCCAAAGAGTTTTGTCTTCTCATGATGTATGAGACAGCCTCAGTTTTGTAATATTGCTTCTTGGGAAACCTCTAGCCTGATTTGATCTGAGATCCACCTGTTTGTCTTTCTGTTGGTCCAGGGCAGGACTGTTTTTGTCATAAAACGCACTGGAACGGCGTTCCCACACCTTTTTTTCCCCAATGGATTTTAAGAAATGATTTTGAATCGCCTGTCAGGCTAGCAGGTCAGCAGCAAACATCATTAGCATAGTGCCTACGGGCTGCTTTTGTGCTCGTGCTGATAGTGAGTGAGTGCTTGGCGACTATTATGTTTACGTATGTGTAGAGTGTCTGGCTTAATGTGTCTGTAGAGTGACTGGCTTTACACTAAAAATCTTTTTTAGTATAAAGTGTGACCGCAAGATGTGAGTTCCAGCACCTTTTTTTTTTTTTTTTTTACAAAAAAAGCACTGGTCCAGGGTATTCATAAAGCTCTTCTCCAGCACAATGTCTTGAATGCATCAATTTTCTTTCTGTCAACTTTCTTCAGTGACCAGCTTTCACACTAATCCATAGTAATCAGGAATGCAATTGTGTGCATCATCTTGGCCTTGGACTCCATCCTTATAGCTGATGATCTTTTCTAGTTCCTTCATTGCTGCCCTTCCAAGTGTCAGCTTTCAAATTCCTTGGCTACAGTCTCCATTTGAATTTATGACTGAGCTGAAGTATATAAAATCCTTCACAATTTCAATGTCTTCATTGTTCACAGTAAAGTTCTGTAATGCTTCTGTAGTCATGATTTTTCTTTTCTTAATGCTCCACTGCTCTTGATTTTTTTTTCTTTCTTCATCAGGAGTTATTTTAATTCATGAGAATTAAATGAGAAACTAATTCATGAGAAACTATGGTGAGCTTCAAAAACCTCTTGAAAACACATTTCTTCATTCAGTTTTTCCCTGGTTTGAAGCTGATCATTATATTGTTCAGTATTACTGTGTTACTCTATTGTTTTAAAGGTACTTGTGGTTTTACATTGGTGTCTATCTTGTCTTGCATGTGTTTTATGTAAACTGCCTAGAAACTCTGGGAAGTTAAGTGATATAGACATAGCTTACATAAATACAAACATAAATAAATGCCAACCTCCCACACACACTCACTGAAGCGATCCAAGAAAGTTGCACATTTACAATGAACTTCCTTCCTTCACTTTCTACTGTTTGGTTCATATTAATTGGCTGTTTCATCATCTATGTTTTGTTACCCACCTGGAAAAACCTAAAGAAATTCATAATTTAAGCAGCTATATGAAATGAGTCACTCAACCCAAATCAGAGGACACTACAGACAATGGGTTGATTTAGAGAGAAGGAAATATTACCATAGGCATCTTGGAGTCATTGGGTTTGATACAGCGGATAAAATATGGCTGGCAGTTACCCAAGATCTTCATCAGCTGTTCCAGAGACTGTTTGAACTGGCCCCCTAGCGTAGGCAGGCGTTTGTTGGGATCGGATCCCTTGAGAAAGGAAGCACATGAATGGTGTGAATGTCAGTTTATGATCAACCAGCATTTCATGATAGTGCCACATATTTTTGAAAAGAACTTTTAAAAAATGTACCTACATGGCTAAATACACATATTTACCTTGAAAGGATAGTGTGCTGACAGGCCAAATTTTGTCTGATTAAGTAGAAGAGCCCATAAGGAAACCGATACAGAGCAAAACCTTTACTGCTTTCTATTCTGCATTTCCCAGCATTTAGAGTCAATTCACACTTTTTATGGTTGACAAGCTGGCTAATGATTTGCTATGCAATGTCTCTCACTGAGCACCTAATATGTTTGCAGAAAAGTGTTTGTAAACATGCAAAAGACATACACCAAATAGAGATGGGGATGCTGCGAGCGGTAGGACAATTTCTGTCTGAATATTCATACAAATGAACACAAACCACAATTCAGTTATCGTTTGAGATGCATAATTCTCTCAATTTTGTGATGGAGCTCTCCAATCAAAAACTGCATAAATAAATGCATATACTAAAGGAAATGGACACAGAATGAGTATATTAGTCATTGTTTAAAAAGAATATTACAGAAAATTGCTTGGTAAAATGTATATATTAGGTTAGGTTAAATGTATGATTCTTAGGTTAGGTTAAATGTATGATTTAGGTTAAATGTATGATTCCTGTAAACTTAAAAAACTCTTTAATTGATGTTAATACAAGAAAAAATGTGAAACCAAAATTGACAGATTGGTCCATTCCTATTCAGTTTTCTAACAAACACCCAATAAATCTCCCTGAACGCTTACAGACTTGCATTTCCCCGTATGGTGCTGCCCTCCCGTGGCCAAAAGTATAGAGGATGGTTTCCGCTATTTGAAATTCTTCAAAGAGCAGAAAAAATTACCTTATAACTGTATTAATTGGATTTCAAACAACCACATTGTTAGAAGGGCAGGATGGCTGTTAATTCTGTGTTACAAGTATAGTGTTTGTTTTTGTTTTGTTTTTTATTTTTTGTTAAATTTGTTTTGAGTTTTGCTGATCATCCAATGCTAGTTCATTGAGGGAACATCTTTTTTAAAAACAGAGATACGAGAATGTCATTCCCATTTACACTTGAGCAATTATACGTTAGTGTGAATCCTCCCAGAAAAAAAGGTTGAAAAATGTCCATAAATTCACAGAAACCTCACAACTCAGAAAAAGCCAGTCTGCTCTGGAATGGGAAGGTCAAAATCTCAACTGAACTGCAACTCAATTTCTCTGACATTTCTAGTCACAAGAATAATAAATAACATTACAGAAACAGAAACACAGAAACAGAGTGAGTCAGAAGGGTCCTCCTGGGCCATCTAGTCTGACCCCTGGCTCCAGCTGGCTCCACTCATGACATGCCTACCATGTGTATGTCCATTACAGAGAGGAAGACAGTATCTGGTCTTAGGAAGTAAAGCAATGACTTTACCTTTTCCCACCACAGTCCTACCTTTCTTTTCATGCATGCCCATTTGACTCTGCAGCCCAGGCACACACTTTGCTGTGGGACGAAATGAGAGTCTGGGCTGCTTCTGTAAGAGGGAGGAGCGGATGGGCGAAGGGGCAGAATTATTGTGGGGAATCACTCCTACATGTCTTTCATTGCTATGAAGTGTTAGAGAGACAAATTTTCACATTATATTGGAATTCTTGGTGATCATTTTGAAACATCAGTGAGATAACATGGCTATTTGGCAGACATCGTTTATAACAGCCTGATCCTCTTCAACTCATATCAGCCCCATCTAGCATGATTAATGGTCAAGGAGTCTAGGAGATATATCCAAAACATCTTCAGGGTACCAAGCTGAGAAAGGCTGGTACATACACTGGTTACTTTCTGTTGTATCGGGACTCTCTTTTATTTTCCATTCCTTTAAGGTTAACTTATTTCCCCATGCTCATATTTGGCATTAATAGAACATGCACACTTTCTAGGATGCTATCTGGCAACTTTACTCTTAGTTGCAGGGAAAACTAGAAAACACAATTCAACTGACATTGTTTCCTCTTCCAGCCTACTGAAATCAAATAATCACAGCTGCTGTAAAAATAATGAAATCCAGACACAGAAAACCACACATAATCTCTTTCAGGAGCTCTTCTGTGCTTACTTATCTATTATGAAATGTCTTTTCCAAGTAGTTTACCTGTCTAAAAGCAGGAGGTGATGTTCTGGACTGAACAAAGGCATGGCAGGTCAATGACTGTGAGCAAAAGCAACAGCAAAAGGACAGGAAAGTGTAGAATTTGAAAGAACAAAGAGCTAAATTAACAATCAGAGCAAAGAAATGCAAAGCATGAGGACAATTTGCTATTCATTTTGAGAAACATTACAGGATGCAATATTACTGGTTGATCAAAACTGAAGAAAATACAGTGCCGGTGTGAGGGAGGGAATCATTCAAAATAAATTATATAATAGCTGCACAGGTTGCTATGAAGGAAATCCCAATCCAAAATGGTCATGGTGGCATAATGCTATGAGAACATCCCTACAATTCCATTGCAACATGGCAGTTTATGATATTGTACCATTATGTGTTACCATTCGAAGAACCAAGGACAGTGTGTATTCTTGTTATCATGTTCTCCTCACAATAACCCTGTGAGGTTTGTTTTTCCGAGAGACTGAATGGTCCAGGGTAACCCAATGAACTCCATGTCTGACCAAGGATTTGAACCCAGCTCTCCTCAGTAGTGGTCAATACCACCATGGTACTTGTTGTTAGTCGTGAAGTCGTGTCCGACCCATCACAACCCCATGGACAACATTCCTCCAGACCTTCCTGCCCTCCGCCACCCCCCGGAGTCCACTTAAGCTCACAACCATGGTACTAACGCTGGTTAAATGACTGAACAGACCACATCTCAAATTGCTATTGCTGCTTTGAAATAAATTGCTAAGGAATAGTGCAGAGTAGTAACTGCACCAGCAGCAAGATTAGATTTGACAGAGAAGGTGACACACAGGAAATGTCCCTCTGAGCCCAGGCAGGGAGACACATTTCAAATCAATGCCAGGAAGGCTAACCTTGAGGGGATCCACTCTGAGATGTCTGATACTCCCACGGCCAAAAGGCACCACATTTGTGGCTGTGTCTACTTGGAAGAGCTGTCTCAGAAATTTGTTTTTGGATGAATGAACCAACTGCATTATGTCCGAGCTAAGCATGTCACGATTTTTCTCAAGAAAACCTACGGGTAAAAAGTTTAACATTTCCATTTAATTCCATTTCCAGTCTCATGTTCAAAGTACACTGCGGCATGTTTTCTCCTCATATTAACAACATTCTTTCCCACACTGTTTGTTTGTTTGTTTGTTTCATTTTTATGCTGCCCAAAAGCCCGAAGGCTCTCTGAACATCACCACATAATATAGCTATGTAATTTTTTATAAAGCAAACGTCACCCTGATAACATTGAATTACAGGATTCAGAAAAGAGAAAGAAAAAGCTCTCTCTGGACTTTTCTGGATGAGCTTTCTAACCCACCACTTCAGCATGACTTCTGCTTCTTGATTCTTTGTGGGATTAGGGTCAGTTCCTCCACACTATGTAGAGTCCACTTTGAGGGTGGGAATCCACCGGCTTCCCTCAGCTCAGCTCCCCAGATGTCAGCCTACTTTCTTGTGGCCCCAGCTCTGACTTTGCACCGAGCCCATCATGTGGTTGTCCGCGTGAACACCGCTCAAGGGGCGCCCCTCTTCCACACGTGACTTGCAACCCTCTGTGGGCAGCGCATGCTGCGCAAGGCGGCCACATTGTGCAAGAAGAGTCCTGCTGCCAATTGCAAGAGTCTGCAGACTTCCTCTCGACTCGACTCACTTCCCAAGCCAACTCTGATTTTAGAAAGAGGCCTGACAAACACAAGTGAGCCGAATGCTGCAGGATCATTGCAACCCTACTCTACACATTTCCCCCACAGCAGAGTTTTTCCTCCTCTGTTTGTGGGTTTAACTACATGATCTCTAAGTGATGCTGTGGTGCAGCAAAACTGAGCAGTTAAACAAGTATTTCATCCCACCATTGCTCCATAATGCCAGTCTTTCACTCATTAAAAAGAAAATGCCTGGAAAAAATGGAAGATGATAACATTTCGTATTCTGCTTATACAAATCTATGGTGCAATCACACTCAGAAAACTGTGTACAGTTCTACTCACTAAACCTAGAAAAGTATATTGTAGAGCTGGAAAAAGTGCAGAAAGGACAATGATCAAAGGGCTGGAACAAACCCTGGTGAGGAAAGCTTGCAGCATCTGGGAGTGTTTAATTTAGAAAAAGGGCAAGTATCAGAGGAGGGAATCAGAGGGGTGTGCAAAATTGGGTATGATGTGGAGAAAGTAGACGAGATATTTTTCTCCTTCTCTTATAATACTAGAACTGGGGTCATTCCATTAGGCTACTTGGTGGACAGATAAAAGGTGTTTCTTCTTCATACAGCACCAGTTTAAAATATGGCATTTGTTCCTACAAGATGTAAAGATGTAGTGATGGTTGCCAATCTTTAAGAGAAATTGGACCAATTTATGGAGGATAAGCTATGTATGACTGCTTGTCCTGATGGCTTCATGCAAGCTCCCCATCAGAGGCAGCATCCCTCCGTGTAGCAGTGCCGAGAGACCTGGGTGAGAGGGCGCTGCTGCACTCACGTCCCATGGGAAGCTGGTTGGCCACTATGGGAACAGAACGTGGGACTAAACGGACCCTGGGTCTGACCCAGCAAGGCTCTTATGCCATCATCTGAAGCACCCACAAACTGCCACACATCAGGAGCCACAGTTGCACAATAGAAAAGCAATCTAAGCTGAACTGAGTACGTGCAGGGCAGAATCCTGCAGTTCCTCACTCACCTTTTGACTGGTAATAAACAACACCTGCAAAATGGTTGATACCAAAAACTGTATCATGGACGCTCCTTGGGGGAAGATAGATCTTGCTTCTGCCATGATGAGAGTTGATTTTATTTAGCATGGTTGTGTCTGTTCCCTGGAAACGAAAGAAAGATAGCATGAGATGAAACAAAGTAATTCACTTCCTGTGTGTTACTGAAAATTAACAATGAAAATGTGCCAAAAGAAAAGCAAAACCAAAATCTGATCTGTGACAAAGGCAGTGCATCCAAAAAGTGAGAACGCTCAGCCATATTAAGAGATGTCCAGTGATTTCAAACTGCATCATACATCCATTTATTTGGGAGTAAGCCCCACTGAACTCAGTTTCTCCACATGAGGCATTGATTGTGTGCTTGTAGTCTCTCACACATGGAAGTTTGAGGGACCCTTTCAAGATGTCATTGTCCTTCAAGGGTCTCTCCCAACTTTTCAGGACTTTTTTGCAGGTTTTTTAAAAAGGAAAAAAAAAAATCTGGTATTAAACTCTGAATCTCAACGAAATGGGACAAGAGCCTGATGAAAACACAAAAATCTGCTGTAACTGCTGTTATACCACAGTGCCACCTCGAGTTGGTTAAGAGAATATAAAGAAAGGCAGAGAATACAAAGCCACAGAAAAAGTCCAGCTAAGAGGTGCATTTTTCACCTGCAAAGAAAACAGAAGAAGCCTCCATATAGCAACCGGTTAAACCCCTCATGTAGGAAAAGACACACATAGGAGGCACTGTTTTCCTGTATCATGAAACCAGGGACACAAAGAACCTGAAATGAATTATAGCAAGTTGCCTCACCGTAAGCAGCTCCAGATGTCTCTCCCAAAAGAGCCATATTGCAGGGCTCACATTTAAGGAGCCATTTCTGTTCAGTGACCAATATAGAAACTGGACATATCCTGATTGCGGAGGAAAAAAGCAAGCTCTCCCAAGAGGAATTTAAATACAGTGCACTTTTTACACCACCTTTTTTTCCCCAGGGATAGAAAGGAAGGGAGAGAGGAACCAATAAAAACTAAGAGAAAAGTTAAAACCACACAAATTATAATCATGAGGAACCACTGTTTACTACAACCAGCACAACCAGAGATTACCTTTTCCTATACAGTATATCTAGACACCAAAATGGAGGTACTGAACATGACTTGTAAAGCAGAAAAATAAAAAAATAGCAATAAGATGAAGCCACAAAGCCATATATTACAGAAAAGTTCAGTGTAATAAAACTCGATATACTACAAGGACTAAACAAAGAAAATTCTAGATAGTATTAAAGGCTTGCAGGAAAATAAATATTTTCAAGCAGTGACTGAATATTGACAAAGGTGGAGAACATAGCATTTCCTAATTTATATTTTTAAAATTGATTTTTTAAGGATATGTGTATCCATCTTCCTCTTTGTAAAAAGCAATTATATTGTCATATGCTTGACAATACCTGTGAAACTGAAAAAGATTTCTCTTGGGAATGAAAATATGTCCATGTGTACAGTCATCTGGTTTGTTGCCTGACATATGTATTTGCAATAAACAGATGACTGGCTTCACAGAATTCTATGAGTTGTTCTCCTGCATCATTTCTTACCGTGAGGCCCCATTCTCCCAAATCATTATATTCTGCTTTGTTTCCCACTTTTGCATTCCAGTCACCTATTATTGTCAGCTTGTCTTGTTTTGCTGTGTTATCAATTTGCTCTTGGATACTTTCATAACAGTTTTTGATTTTTTTTCTTCAACTTCTGTTGATGACCTGAATAATGGCTTTGATAAGTTTTCCAAGGATCTAATTGGAAGTATTTGGTTGGACTTTGCAGTATAGCTTTATACAGTTTGTACTGCATCTTGCCTCAGTATTAGAACCACTCTGTTTCTTCAGAGTTTATCATTTCCAGAGTAAAACACTTTGTTTGAAAATGTCACATTTTAGTCCACTTTAGCTCCCTCATGCCAAGTACTGCAATATTTAACCAGTCAGTTTCTTGCTTTATGGTTTCCAGGTTGTCTTAGATTCATACTTCCACCTTCCATATTCCATCTGTACGCGTTTGCAGCATCAGACTTTCCTTTCTTTTCTGGGCATGCCAGCCACCAGACTTCCTTTCAGCTTTGATCCAGTTGCGTCATTCGTGACAGTGCCATTGTCCTTTGCTCTTCCCCACTAGCTAGTTGAGTGCCTTCCCACCTGGGAGTCTCATCTTCTGGCACTATCTCTTGTTTCATCTTAGATTATCCATTTTTCAAGATAGGAAAATATTCAGAAGTGGTGGACCATTGCCGCCTTCTGCACAGTACTAACCAGAATTGGCTTAAGGCAACACTGTCATTACCTGTGAAGGATCCTCTGCTAGTGCTGCTGCCTTCGGGTCTTTCTCCACACTGATCATCACTGTCTTCTGCTGATAGAACCTTTACTCCTCCAGATGGTAGACACAACTTTGCTTGATGTCTCAGCTCTGCCTTGTATGATCCTGCCAAGGGACCTGCCTAGTGGGAGTCATGCCCCCTGGCTGCACTGCTCTTAGCTATTCTGATACTTTCAAACCCCCTCACCATGTGGGGTTTTTTCGTGGAACTCACACAATAGGGAAAATGTTGCATGGGAGATTAGGACCAGCCCACAAAGGCTAACAGGTTGGAAGCATGTACTTTAAATACATAATTACTAACAGTGCAATCTTACACAGCTCTATGCAAAAGTAGGTCCCTTTACTTTTAATTAGACTTACTCTCATGTTAGTGTACACAAGATTGCAACCTTAGAAAACTATTACTCTTCATGCCAGCCTCTGGTTTGAAAGTAGAGGACAGAAGGGTTTTCATCTTTATGTCTGTTCTTAGGAGAATTTTCCAAGAATCCATATGAGAACTCCTTGCAGTTCTTCCTTGCAGTGGCCCGGGGAGCGGGGGTGTGGGGGAGAGAAATGACACTCACCTTAGGAAACCGGCTTTCCTCGTCAATAAGTGACACAATATTCATGGGTCTGAGTGCAATCACTTCCAAAGCTGCACAGTTGTCAGTGAAATCAATATGATCCCAGGTGATATGCTCAGCCAAATATTCCTCCTGCTCTAATTTGAAGATGTTGACTACAAAGAACTGCTGGAGGTGCTCATTGGCAAAGTTGATGCACAGCTGCTCAAAACTGCAGGGACACAACCATTTTTTGTAAATGCTCATCCAACCGTTCAATAAATATGCCCAGCTTGGTTTAGATAAGAGAAAATACAAAAATAAATCAAGTATAAATGCTACAAAACAGAGAGCCACTAGCACAGGTATGACATCAGTGTTACACAAGACCATAAAAATATGTATGTATTTATGTAGCACTGGGTAATATTTAATATGTGTATTTCACAATAGCATAATTTCTGACCTTGACCACAGAGCAATTGTTTTAAGAAGGAACAATGCCAGATATCAGCCAGTACTAGTGTTGCAATGATTCCTCACCTAATGCAAGGGCTAATATGGACTGGGTAGTTGGAGATGATCTTATTTTATTCTATCTTTTAAAGACACGCTGGAATTAAGCTGTAACGTATATTTCAGTATGAAGTTACATCAGTATGCATTCATCCGCTGTTGCAGAGGCACTTCCAATGTGCTGGTTCTCTCACTTATGCTTTCTGCACTATATATTGAATTGACATTACCCCAACACCCCATGATCCATTTTGCTTCCAGAAGGAGTGGCATGGAAAGCTGCCAGGAACATCATCAGCAAGACTCTGGACAGCCCTGGAGGAGCTACAGTGTCCATGAACTTTCTCCACTGATTAGATTTAAGGGAGTTGCTCCCTGTCACTGAGGAAACATGCACATACTTGCCTGCTTACCAGGCAATGAGCCAGACAACCAACTCATGGAGGTAGCTTTGCCCTTGCCAGTCCAGAGACTGACATTTGGCTCAGTACTGAAGGGTCCCCAACAGAAGGCCAACAGGCTCAGGATGAGCTGGATGATCAGGCACTTGGGTGATCTTCAGGGATACTGTTTGCTCTGAATGTAGTGCCATGCAGCTTCTTATAGCTAGCTAGCCTTGAATAAGTAAAGTGTCCAAGAACCTCCCTGACCTTTCCTTGCATTCCTCAGAGCCAACTTATTGTTCTAATTCATGTTGGGTCAAACCTCAGAGGCAGCAAGTCCCTTGTTTTCTTTGTTCTGAATCCTGTAACTTTCTTACAGCATGGACAGCAATTGTTTATTCTTTCAATTGCAACATCCCTCGGAGTGGTAGGTGTTAGTTCTAAAAATAACCTGAGGTCCAACTGCTTCCTTCTTAATCTTTCCTGCCATGATTCTCTGCTTCACTTTGGCACACATCCCATGCTTTCAGGGCAGACTCCTCCACTTTTCACCTTTATGGCACATTTGCTCAAAGAGATCTTTCAGTCTTGCATGCCCAGAGAGGACATGGTGTCTCGTGGCAAAGTGCCCCATTGGGCACTCAGAGCAAGAGTCCACACATAATATGCCACAGCCTTCTGGGTCCATCTAGCCATTCTGGTGCTTTGCAAGACCTATGTGTGAGCTCTGTCAGCTCTAAATCCAAGGAAAGGCAGTCAAGGAGAGATTAGAATGCAGGGAAGGGGCTTCTAAAAGTCTTGGGCTGAATACAACATTATTCTCTTTGGGAATACTAAGAAGAATCTCTAGTTCAAAGGCTCTCCATCCAAATTCTATTTTGAACTACATTGTGGCTCCAAAGGCCTTCATGATACCTTATCCTCCGTTTGGTTTCCCCATCCTTCTTTTGGTTCTTTCTGGACAATTTAGTACTTAGAGCTTTGTAAGCCAGCAAGACATATGCCCCATTTTTAATTACAAAAGAGAAGTAGAGAAATCCAAGGGCAGCTGGCACCCAAAACATGCTTCTAACTAAAGGAAACCAACCATGAAATGAAGTTATTTGGATTTTTCTACATTGAAAATAATGCAATTATGACTTTATAAATCTGTCCCTGTGGCCTACCACTGTCACCAGCACCTGAGGTCTCTTGGCTGAACAGTCTCCTAACCCACAGCTTTGTCATATCCATAGCGCCATCTTATTTGGCAAACACTGATTTCCTTAATCATCTTCTTTTCCTAATTCTTAATTAAGCCTATTGGAACTAGCATGCTGGTCCACATACTGAACAAAGAGCAGGGTGAGCAACATGTGGCCCTTAGGTTACACATGCACTCCCACCCGGCCACATCTGCAACGCCAGCCTCTTCCCCCACTATTGAACTGGGCACTGAAACTGTAGCAGTGGCCAAAACTGTGGTGGTTTTCCATTGCAACAAGGCATGCACACCAAATTTACAAGCACAAACGTTCTTCCAGAAGCCTCCTAGAAATGCATTTGTGCATGTAAACAAGACACATGTACCCTATATGCCTTTCAATAAAAGGTTCCTGGAATTTTAGCTCCCACCACAGCAGCAGATTTGGAGAAGGGTGGAAGCCCTTGGTGGTTCAGAAGAGGAAGGCCAAGCAGTTCCTCTGATCCCTGAAAGTTTTCAGCCATTAACTAGAGGGTGGGTATAGTAACCAAGCAGGTTCTCTCTTCTGTATTGAATGTGCTTGTGCATTTTGAAAACAAAAGTATGTAAAATCCATGATTCTGAAATTTAATTAGTGTCTGAGCTATTTCAGAAGTAGCTATTACCCATCCGTCAGAGCATAGCACATACACTGACCATGTGAGTACATCTTTGGTTAAGACCCACTTAGACCCACTTTCATCATTGCCTCATGTGTACACTCATCATTACATCACACATTACGTGTGTGTGGAAGTGAGGATGTGCAGCAATGCTATTCTCCTCCACGGTGCAATCAATTAACTGAAATGTAATTTCCATCAAAACTAACAGTGGCAACATGCTTCTGACTTGGAGTATGTTTCTCCAACAACCCAGAAACAGATTAATTTGGACTGCCATACCTGTTTGAGTTAAAATTTTCAAAGCCAAAGATGTCCAGTAGCCCAATGGACCTGCGTATGTTTTTCTGATCTTGAGAAGGGGGGTTGTAAATGGCAGCATTGATCTTATTCACTATCCAAAGGAAGAGGAAGCCATAGATCGCCTGAATGTAGAAAAAGGAATATAAAGGGTTTAGGCTTTACACAATAAATAATTCCACTGGCAGCAAGAAGAACATGCAGTATGTCCCATGAAGACCTAACCCCATTGCCTACTGATGGGTAGAGCAAAGGACAGAAATATTTCCTTCTTGATCTATGTAGCTCTGCAGCTGGGCACCATGACTTCCCATTTTCTTAGTGGATCAACACAGGAATTGCAAACAGGACACTGTAGGATTTTATCCTTAGGATTTTTATTGGCTCTTGAAAATGGAACGCACATGTCACCCTACAAAATGTAAAAAAAAAAAAAAGCAGGGAGAATTGTTGATTTACTTTACCTTTACAAAGGCATCTCTCACATCAGCAGCTTGGGCCACACTTAGGGACATGGAAACACTTTCCCCTCGAATGATGATGGAGTGGTTTGTAAGGCTGCTGTGGAGTTCCCCAGAATCCACCTATAGGAGCATATAATTGAAGACAGAGGATATTTGGCAAAAAAGGGGTGTATCTGCTTTAGAAGATGGCATGCAGAGGCATGTAAACAGAAAGCGGAGAAGTGTTATCGAGACAGTATTTGGCAAGACTAGCCTGCCATGACAGCAGTGAGTCCAGAATGCAATCCCCCAGCACTTCATGGTCAAAGCTAGAGAAAGTTCATAGCAGGCTTTCTGTCAAACTGAAGTTGCCTACAATTCACACATTGCAATGGACAAAACCTAGAAAACAGACAGTGTGGTGTAGGGGATAGGGTCAGACTAATATTTGTAAGGCCTCAGTTCAACTCCTAACTCATCCGCGAGGCTAAGGAGATGATCCTGGGGTAGACATAATCTCTCTGTCTATTCTTCAGGGCTGTTTGCAGGGAGAACTTGGGGTGGGAGCTACATCCGCACCTTGAGCATCTTGGAAGAAATGTAATAATATGGTACGTAATATGTGAGTAGCCTTCAGAGGCCAATCAGTTCTGAGGAACTCCAGAGGATCTAGCAAATTTCCTGCTGGTATGGCCAGTGGTCTTGTAGAAGTCCAGGTTACTCAATGGAAGATGAAGATTAGGTGGGCAGTTGACACAACTGTTCCCAAGAGCCCCCTTCCTCTGGGCAGAGCCCAGGCAGCTCCTTGGTATATCCCTGAGCTAAGGGCAAGGAAGTAAGAAGTGAGAAGGTTAAAATGTAGGTGGAGGAAGTCCAACCAAACATAGTGGACTCTATCTCACTCTATGATAGTGAGGGTAGCAAAGGGAGCGTTCCTTTCCTTTGATGTTGCATTTCCTCATTATTATGCAGCAAAGTGCTTTCATTTGCAATCTGGGCCATGGGGAGAGAAGGTAGAAACCTCAATAGCATGCTGAAATGAGTTTCCTTGACGTTTTGAAGACAAAGTTGCTCACACTGTTCATGACTTGGATACACAATTAATGCAATTCTGTTAGTAGACGCAAGGATGCAAGCAAGGTTCTTGGCCAAGCCAGGTCAGCTGCCTGCCTCTCATCTGTCATGGCCTATTACATCTAACAGGGAGAGGATGTCTGGCTGAACCCAGGAGATTATCTACTCCTCCTTGAGAGACAGAGTGGTTCCAGCTACTTTAAACAGGGCAGTTATTAGGGAAGTCCTGAAAAGGCCTAACATGGACCCAAAAGATGGAAACAGCTACAAGTCACTTATTAATATTCCCTTCCAGGGCAAGGTTGGTAATTGCCAGCCAACTCCAAGCACTTTGAAATGAAATGGATTATCTAGACCCATTTCAACTGTGCTTCAAGCTTAATTTGGAGCAGAAGTTGCCTTGGTCACTCTGTGCAATGATCTTTGCTGGGAGAGGGACAGGGAGAGTATGACCTTGTTGATTCTCTTGGACCCTTCAGTGGCTTTCAGTATCATCACACATGATATACTTCTGGATAGGCAATTTAGGTTGGGAGTTGGAAGTACCTCACTACAGTGGTTTCTCCATACTCCTGTATGGATGGCTGATTCAGGAAGGTTCCTCTTTAGTCTTGGACTACCACAGGGCTCTCTTTTATCTTACATGCTGTTTAAAATCTGCATGAAGTCACTGGGAGAGGCTGCCCAGGATTATAAACTGAAGGGTCACCAATATATGGATGAACTGGGTTCTGCCTCTCATTTTCATCAAACTCCAGTAAAGCAGTGGGCATTCTAAAACAGTGCCTGGGAGTAGATGAAGGCCAATGGACTGAGATGTTCATGGGTGGTTGGTGTGCCAAGCTAAGAGTTGTTTAAGATGTACTCCCTCAGGGGATCAAGTTTGTGGTTGGATCACTAGGGGCACAGGTGGACTCAGTGGCATGGACCATTTTTATCAGCTCACACTGATATGCCAACTATATGTCTGGACAGAGGTAACCTACATACACTTTTCCATGCTCCAACAATTTCTTGGCTGGTACTGCAATGCATTATATGTGGGACCGCCTTTGAAAATGGCTGGGAAACCTCAACTGGTCTAAAACAAGGCTGCAAGATTGTTAATGAGGATTGGCCCTCATGGTTATATCACACCATACTATTCCATCTGCACTGACTGCCAGTCCACTTCTGGCCTTGATTCAAAGCTCTTGTATTAACATCCAAAGCCATAAATGGGATGAAAGCCCTCAACAAAAGAAGTGAACGAGTGGCTGCTAGGAGGAGGTGCTACCCTACTTGTGCAAAGAGCTTCCCAGAGGGGCACTTTTTAATGCAAGATAAAAACTTTTTCTATTGTATCAGGCATTTTAGGTTCTCAGTTTGTGCTTAAAATGTGGTACAGTATTTTTAAATCTTTGCATTGAGGCTATACAGGATATATTGGGATTTTTAATGCTATAGTGCTAATGTTTTATATTTTTATATTGTATTTTATCATTGCATCATTTATCAATGAAGACGCTACTGTTAGGAGAGGATATAGAGGAACAGAAGGATATTCCATAGGCAAAGGTGTCAGAGCAAATTCTATTTTATCTCCCTATCTGCTAAATCTGTACACAGACCATATCATGAGGAAAGTTGGATTGAGGAAGGATGAATGAAAACTGTCAGAAGATGCACCAGTAATTTAAGATATGTGAATGATACCATATTACTACCAGAAAGCAGCAATAGACTGAAACAACTTCTGATGAAGATGAAAGAAGAAAATGCAAAAGTAGGGCTGTCGCTGAATATTAAGAAAACAAAAATCATGACTACAGAAGAATTACAGAACTTTACTGTCAACAATGAAGGCATGGAAATTGTGAAAGGTTTTGCATACCTTGGCTCAGTCATCAATCTAGAGACTGCAGCCAAGAAATCAGACTGAGACTTGGAAGGGCAGTGTTGAAGGAACTAGAAAAGATCATCCAGCATTAGGATGTTTCACTGGAGACCAAGGCCAAGATCATCCTCACTGGAGTATTTATGTTGGGGTGTGAAAGATGGACAGTGAAGGAAGCTGATAGGAAAAAAAGATGTGTTTGAAACACAGTGCTGGAGGAGAGATTTGTGAATACCCTGGACTAAAAGGAAAATGAAGAAGTGGATCCTATATTGCATCAAGTCAGAACTTGTAGTGGAAGTTAAAGCAATGAAACTGAGGCCATCACACTCAAGTCCAATCATGAGAAGGCAAGACTCACTGGAGAAGACAATCATGCTAGGGGAAGTCGAGGGCAGAAAAAGAAAAGGAAGAGCAGCTACAAGATGGATTGATTCTGTAAAGGAAGCCACAGCTATGAATTTACAGGAGCTGAGCTGGGCTGCTGGGACCAGACATTTTGGAGGGCTTTCATGTATAGGGTCACCATAAGTTGGAGACTATTTGAAAACAAGTGAAAATGACAATGTTCTATGGTTCCAATTGCTGCAAACCACCCAGAGAGGTATTGCTATTAGGCAATTCCAAAATGGGATAATAAATAAAGAAAATGGAATGGCAGTACCTCAAGTAGTTTGGTTGCAATAGAAAAGTGTGCAGAATCCAGTACAGTACAGCAATCCAAGTTTTCACACACAGCAGCTAGTTAAAGAAAAGAGCAAACTTTAAATATATGTAACATAAAAAATGTAGCCAGCCCTTTTTTCACTTGAGAAGCTGTTAGGGAAAAGCAAAGAACAGCATTAGAACGTAATACAGTCAGTACAAGATATTATTATCCATTCCTGTTCTATAACAAGAATGCATAATTCTGGGTTGAACGCTCAGTCCACTCTCTCCGAAGGTGGTAACTGTAGTGTAATATACAGACATCAAAAAAGTGTGGCAGTTAAAAAATGGTTCAGCAGCTATGACCAAAGAGATGTTTTTTAAACAGAGACCTGTCATCTCTTCTCACTCACTGCTTCTCTCTCAAAAGGTTGATCCCTGCAGATAGGCACTGCCTAGGCAGCCAGAGGATACAAATCCCATCTTCCATATCACATTTCCCAGTGTTTATATATATGACTACACAGAGAGACGCACGCGCACAGAGCTCACCTTCAAATTCCACATTCCCCAGGTGCAAAATAGCTGCAAGCAGTTTGCTTATGTCCCAGTGCTCAGAATCAGAGAACATTAGGATCTTCATAGCTGAACGGATATGAGCATATTCCTTGGCATCATTACGGCCTTCACAGGAAGTGCACTCACCCTGCAAGACGCATAGTGATAACGCAGAATTAAGGGTGCTAAGGAGGGTCAAATCATTGTAAGGATAAAGTCAAATGGAATATTCTCCAGGTATGTTGAGGTCTTTAATGGGTAATTTATTACAGATGGATGGATGGATGGATGGATGGATGGATGGATAGATAGATAGATGATAGATAGAAAAATCAGTTGCACCCATTTCCCATGTGTCAAAAGGAAATGAAATTGAGTAGTATAAAGAACAAATAGGAGATGGAAAAATATAAGGGGAATTTACCATAGTGAGGTAGGTGTACTCAGAAGCAGTGCCCAGATTCAGCATCTTCTTCTGTTCCAGATTCATTCCCATTAACATGCAGTAAAAGATATGGTAATTCCTTTCCTCTGGAGCCTAAAATGGTTAAAAGAGCCCATTTATCAGAGTCCCCATGGTTTTTAGTGTGGTCTCTGTCATTCCCACAGTTGGAATTCAGCAGTGGGATGGCAGAACAAAACAAAACCCCTGGCAGCAAATTGGTACAGAGACTCAAAAGTGCCAAATTCAGTTTACTTTCAAACCAAGGATGTCCCTCTGAGTCTCCAAGGCAACTTAAAGTTGCCGTTCTCTGCCACAGATGTAACTGAAAGAGGAATGCTACCAAGATGAAATTACCTGGCGACACACCCGAGACTTCTCCAGAAGGAACTGCTCTATCCGGGCTGCTTCTATCACCCCATCCTGATTGAAGTGAATATCAATGTATTTCCCAAAGCGGCTTGAGTTGTCATTTCGAATTGTTTTGGCATTTCCAAAAGCTATGGAGGGCAAGATGGCATTTTGAAGCAACAGATGAAGGAAGGGGGTGTCACTCTGCCTATTTGATATCATTTAGAACATCGAGATACTGCATCGTAAAAGGGATTTTAAAAAATTTGACTTATAGCCCATTCTGTCCCAAAAGCTTGAGCTGGCTACCATTTGAAAGGCGCTTGTTAGCCCTTTCATAATTACAGTAGACCTGGCTAAGCCCACATAGGTACACGCCATTTAGCCTCCTAGGAAGGCCTCGACAGTTACAGGCAGCCTATAAATACATATATAAATAAATAAGTTGCCATAAGTATATTCTAATTTCTTGTCTCTGCATTTTAACCATGCTCTTCCAAGTATGTAAGTGCATCCTCTCTGATGTTCCTGCCTTACTGGACATCCACAAGTATGTGTATTCTTTTGGATAAAGCAGACAACTCAATATGCTAATATATGTTGGTCTAAGCTGAGAAGTTAGTTTCTGGGTAAATGAGGGTTGCCTTGTGCATTCTAGGCCTACATAGTGGGATTTTACATGTGCGTATCTTATCCACTTGTTGCACCCGTGCATCCATGTCTAGAGAATCAGGCGTACCTGATGGGCAGGGCAGGTAAAAATAGTCTCAGTGGGAGAAGAATGGGAGGAAAGAATCATCCAATCTAGGGCATGCATGTGTAAAAATGGCTAACTAAACAGAGAAAGGCTTAAAATTAGTTGCTTAACAATGTAATTCTAAATTTCCTGTATAGTAAATCCTAACACGTTCAGTGGGGTGCATGATAGTTTGCTTTAAAGAACTAGCTACAAAGGCATATGTTTAATATTTCCTCGAATGGACTAGCATACCTTCTAAAATGGGATTGGCCTCTAAAATCTGCTGCTCAATCCAAGAATGTTGGCCACTAACTGCAGCTAAGAATTGCAGTATCAACTTGGTGCTTTCTGTCTTCCCAGCTCCAGATTCTCCACTGAAAAGAATTTCAGATTTGATTAAATCATTTATGGACTCTCTTGACTAAGCGGAAAAATAAGCGATCCCTCCTTCACCCATCCCTGTTCTTGATCAAATCTTTGGGGAAGTACATTTGCTTTAAGACATCACTCTTGTAAAAATGGAAATTTCCTGAACAGCTGTTATCTGTGTTTTGATATCTCCATCTATACTGTTTCCCTCTGTATATCCTTGATGTATGTTGATCGTTCACCATTTTAGAGCAAGTATTGTTCTGATAAGGTGAATGGTTTTATGTCACTGAAGCAAAGTACAATTTGTTATTTTAATTTTTAGTTACATCTTCCTCTGTTCTCCCTTAAACTATTTAAAAATGTCCTCTTTACATCAGCCTTTTCCTACCACTACTCCCCCTTACCTGATAACACAACATTGGTCTCTCTTATTTCTCATCATGTTGAAATAACAGTTGTCAGCAATGGCAAAGACATGAGGTGGCAGTTCCCCAATCCTCTTGTTACAGTAGAGTCCAATTTGCTCCATGGTATAGAGGGGCAGCTCTTCATAGGGATTTATGGCTACTAAGATAGAGCCTGTGTAGGTCTAAAATCATTAAGACATTTATGTAATGAATCCCAGATTCTAGCACAACAAAATCCAAGCCACCTCATGCTCTGGTCCTACCAAGCAATATAAAATAAGCTTTGATGGGGATATTAGGAAAAAGAGAAGTCCTAGAAAGTAGAATGAAGAATTGAATATACTTGAAGCACATGGATTGATTCTGGCATGTGTCAACACTCACAGGAAACAGAATTGCTGTTTTCCAAAGGCATCACTAAGAGCAGAATCCAAGAGGGGCTTATGCTCCAGCTGATTTCCATCTGCAAGTTAGCAGAGCTTGTTTACATTTTGGAGCTTCCTCTGGGAAGTGCTAAGGCTCTGCTGAGCAAATAATGGGGAGGGGGTGCTGCAGGGCCAAAGAGAATCTGTAGGGGCATCGGCCTTAGCCAAGCAAACATATAACCAGAGAAGATAAAGTAATGAAGGTCCATTAAAAGAAATCACAAATCCCCATTTAATGAAGTAGTATGAGAATTGAATTAGCGTGAAACTGAGTAAATAATGAAAGGAAAACCTTCGGACTTCCAGTCTAGGTGTCACTTGGAACCATCCGGTGCGCTACCTCCTTTGCCTGTTTGCCATTTTAGAGCTTTTGTGCTTTGTCTGACTTTACCTGGACCTACTCTGCTTTGTTTGACTGACCTCTGCAAGTGGGAATCCGACATCAATTCTTTTGGCATGTTCCTGGCAGCACCTGACATATGATAGACCTGACTTTGCTTACTAATTCTTGAACTGACAGAAGTGGCATGTGACCTTGTTTCCCTGGAGCTAGTGCCCCATGTATAAACCACTCAGTTTAGAACCAACTAGGGCCACTGCCTGGGACTCAATAGCACAGACTAAATCATGGTTCCATAAAAATCTTTTTTTGCCACAAATTTGCTCCACCAACCTAGCTTTTTTGTTTTGGTGTCTGATATCACCCTGTATAGGAATAGAACAAAACAATTACACAGCTTGCTTTTAAAAATATAAAAGTGCAATAGGTGAAATGCCCCTCTTTTTAAATTATACCAGTGAATAGGAATAGAAATTGGAATAGGAAATGATTAGAGAAAATGATTGAAGATTTTCAACATGGAACACTAAGTATTAGAATTATAAACAGTACTTGAACAACACACATTATTTTAATGATAATAAAAATGTGATGTGACTACTTTATTCATCTGCATTTTGATTCAGAGTTCCCAAACAGAATTTTATGAATGTTCAACAACATTCATAAAATACAATTCCTATGAAATACTTATAATAAACATACATGTACACACACACCCACACACACACTATTAGTCTCTATAGTTTTTGTACAATTTTGTAGCTTCCCAAAGGACTCCAAACATGTCAACGTTTTTAGAAATGTATAATAAAGATATCTACAAGCATGACATTTGAAGGAAAACATCAGAAAGAGGGGAAAGATCAGGACTGTCTCAATCCAGACTCTCTGAGCTGCCAAAGTACTAGTTTGTATTTCTTGTTTGAGAAAATTTGTAACTTCTTCACTCACATAGATTTTGCGCTGCTTGTAACGGATAAGGAGATTGTGCACCATGCCAGCTTCATTCAAGTCCCCAAGACGAATCATATCTTCAACGCCCTCGATGGAAGTAGGATGCATTGGGCGCACAGCACTGATGTTCCGAGCTGTGATCCAGTGTTCCTTAAACACAACTATTATTAACTAATCCAGCTTGATTTTAGATGCTAACTCACATAACACCTGAGAAATAAACTTTGAGACATATTAGACCAGGACTGGGCAGCTGTGCAGGGCCATTTTTACAGCCCTGATCCTATCCAGCGCACTGTGCAACTCCTCTTCACACCCATGGCAACAACAAAAGACTCAGCAGTGGCCCACTGAAATCCAGCTTCAAATCACAACAGAGCTGTAAGTAAATAAATTTTAGCTAACTTTCAATCTCCATAGAGGGTGTGTAGCAATAATTAAATCAGATTTAGGTTAGCTTTTCAATCACCAGCATGACTTTCAGCCACAGGACAGTGTGGAGATCTGAAGGAATCAAGCCATAGATGGCAAAACTTGCATTTGTGCATTCAAATGCTACTAAAATCATACATTATACAGATATAGGCTTATGGTTTATCCCACTGTGATTACCCATGAATTCCAGAGATCGCTCAAGTTTAGGGTTGTCTGGACCTGTGTCAGACCCAACTCAGACACAACTCTTGCTCTATATAAAACATTTGGATCAGCTGACTAAATAGCTTCCATATCGCCTGAAGTACCTGATCCTGCCTAATCTTGGAAGCTAAATAGGGTCAGGCCTGATTGAAAGCTGGATGGGTGACTTAGATGTTATGAACCCCCCTGAGAATTTTGGTTACAGGCAGCATAAAAATATAATGTAACATAACATAATGTAACATAATAATAATAAAGTAGTGTGCTTTATTTAAAGTGAAGTATGGTATAGTGGTTAAGCATGCAGGACTTGAACTCAGGCAATCTCGGTTCTAGTCCCCACTCAGCTATGGGTGACTTTGGGCCAGTCACAGACTCTCAGCCCAACCTGCCTCATGGGAATGTTATTGTGAGGATAAAAATCAGAGGAGGAGGAAAATAGTATAAACCACCTTGGGTTCCTTGGAAGGAAAAAAGGCGGGCTGAAATTATAATAAATAAATAAATAAAGCATTGTGTAGGCCTACCTTGCCATCATCATCTTCCACCAAATGCTGTCCTGATTCTGAAATTCTGACAACACCCCCAATGGGCACATTAAAGTCACTGCCTGAAGGGGATTCCAACCATACATGATCACCCTAGGAAAAAAGTATTATGAGTAGTTCTTGTACGTATATTAGGTTTCATCTGGGTGGCTGGGTATTTTTCATTTGAAGAAGCGAACTGAGAATTAGCTTTTTCCCTTTAATGGTTGCTAAAGCCACTTTCTAGCTAAAGAGATGGCTTAATGGTGTACGGCAGCCAAGCAAATGTGTGCAGAAACATCCCAAGGAACTGAAAGCCAGTTGGAGTGCTGGACTGGTAGTTGGAGTTCTGGGTTCTAGTGCTCACTTGGCTGTGGAGTGTACTAAATGACTTTGAACCCTCTGCTCCCCACCCCCACAGAAAAGAGAACCAACCCCCCACCCCCAAAGTACAAGTTTCTCTCATTCCTGCATTCTTCTCTTCAGTCTTGCATAGAAATAAGTGTACAGCAATGCAGTGGTGGGGAAATAGCACTTAGCCTTAGAAAAAGCTGATTTATATTCAGTACTTTCTCTTCTGGTCCCTAGAAACCCTGAGAAGTATCAATAGGCATATCATAAACATTCTGATGCTGTCTCTGTTAATGATGCCATTTAAAATATGTTTAATTTCAGACTGGAAGTATGTGTAACCTATCAGGAAAGCTGAATCTGGAGTAGAGGAAGGACTGAAAATTGGAGGAACACACCAGCAATTAAGATATGATACCATATTACTTGCAGAAAGCAGCAATGAATTGAAAATACTCCTGATGAAAGTGAAAGGGCAAAAGTAAGGTGCAGCTGAAAATTGAGCAAACAAAAATCATGATTATGGAATAGTTACACAACTTTACTGTCAACAATGAAATAACTGAAATTGTGAACAATTTTGCCTACCCTGGCTCAGTCATCAATCCAGAGACTGCAGTCAAGAAATTAGAAGAAAGCAACTTGGAAAGGCAGCGATGAAGCAATTAGAAGAGATATTCAGGTGTAAGGTTGTTTCACTGGAGACCAAGGTCCAGATCATCCAGACTGTTGTATTACCCAGCCACCATGTATTGGTGGGAAAGTCGGACAGTTGAAAAAGTTGACAGGAAGAAAATTGATACACTCAAAATATGGTGCTGGATTAGAGTTTTGTGAATACCCTGGACTGGCAGAAAGAACAAGTGGGTTCTTTCAAGAGCAAGCCAACATTTGCAGTGGAAGTAAAAATGATGAAACTGAGGCTGTCCCACTTCATTATGAGAAGGCTGGAGACAGCAATCAGGCTAGAAGACCAGCTATGAGGTGGATTGATTCCATGAAGGAAGCCACAGCTATGGATTTACAGGAGCTGGGCTGGGCTGCTGGGACAAGACATACTGGAGGGCTTTCATTCCTAGGGTTGCCATAAATTGGGAATGACTTGATGATATATAATACTTTTAGATTGTTTTTCTTGCCTACGATCAGGGACAGATTTGCAATGGGCACCTTTCCATTATGGGAAGATATAATGGGGCAACTGTGTTGCTGGAGTTTACTCATGCAATTTTCACTTGCAGGGCGTACTTGAAGAAATTACATATCATATAACTGGAGTACTTTGACCAGTTCTCAGCTCCACATTGCAAGAGGGACATAGCAAGATTAGAATCAGTTCAGCACAGGGTCCCAAGGATGGTAGCAAGATTGTGGGGGATGCTGTATGAGATGAGATTGAAGGAACTGGGACTTTTCAGCTTGGAGAAGAGGAGGCTCCATGAGGATCTTATAGCAATGTACAGGTATGTGAAGGGGAGTCAGAAGGTAGAGGGCTGTGGCCTGTTCTCTCGCATGGTGGAGGTAAGGAAGTGATCCAGTGAAGTAAAGCTAAAGGAATTGGGTTTTAGGTTGGATGTCAGGAAGTACTTCTGGATGGTTAGGACTTGTAGGATATGGAATGGGCTTCCATGGGAGGTAATGGAGGCCCCATCAGTGAGATGTTCAAGGAAAGACTGGACACCCACATATTGGACATTATATGAGTGGAGCCAGCTTGTGCCAGGGGTCAGAGTAGATGGCCCAGGAGACCCCCTCTGACTTGCTATGTTTCTATATGTATGTGATTTATTTTACTCAGCTGCATGCCATAGAGCCATATGGTATCTGTTGAGCAAGCAAGTGGTGAATAATCTTGGTCATATATGAGAGTTTTCTCTCCTAATGCGGCATGGCACAGCACCTCAACTACCTGCAGAGGGCTGCACTTTTTCTTATTTAACATTGTGTTGTGCATGCACAGGTGTGCAGCGGCATCGGTCTGAAGCCGCAAGTACAGACTTAAGAAAAATAGATGGGGGAAGGGAAAAGGTTCACCATCGCAACACAAAATGGAAGACCCTGCATTTCCTCACAGCAAGTCACTTCTTCGGTCTGTTGGCTATGTGCAGCTAACAAGGTTTCTGTGTTGTGAAAGGCATTCATATTTGAGTATGTAGCAGAAAGAACCCTCAAGCCAATTTAAAATGTGATCAATCAGTCTTGAGAAAACCAGTACACATTAGTAGAAATAGCATAAGAACACGGGGTTGAAGAGTGTGCCATGCATCCCACAGGCACGTCAGGCTTTACAGTGAGGAAATAAGCTGCTTGTATAGATAAATTTTGTTTTCAATTTATCTTTCCAGAACCTTGATGCTATTATGCATCCTCTGACTCTCCTGTAAAATGTAAGACTATAGGATAGTTTACTAGCAACCTCTGTTCTGTTTCCTCTATAAAGTGCTTTATAAGGTTATCTTCACAAATTGTAAAATAAAAGAGGAGAAGCAGCTATTGTAATATACCATGGACTCATTAAGCTATGAAACAAATTGTCAAAATACACTAGCGTCAATCTGAATGAATGTTTTAAAAATGAAAGTCCACTTCCACCAAGCACACCTGGCACTGGATCTAACTTCTAATTTCCCAAGGCTCCTTCAGTTTATATGGAACAAAAGTTCAAAGCAAACATATGTACAGCTCTGTGTTGTGCTTAGCTTAGGTCTTAAAACTGCATCACCAGCCAAATGCATATCAGACCAAAGATTAAACTTACTTTTCTGAGAACCACCATCCTGCTTCAGGGTGACATATGCAGCCTACACTCATAAAGAAAGAAAAATGTCACAAGAAGGTAAAAACTCAACCAAAAAAACCCCTAACTACAACCAAAGAAAAACTCAAAGCAGCATGGTATGAATAAATTGGATACACAATTTAGAGACTGGCCAAGTGTAATTCTTTAAATAGGAGATGGAAAATGTGATTGAGATCAGTCTCCGAAAATATATCTAAAACAGGTTTGTATATTCATGATCCCAAACTATGTTGTATATACATGTACTTGCTGACTTTAAAGATGCATCTGCCATGAAAATAATTTTATTCTGAAAGCTTGTGCCTATATGTCCAACTGTAAGAGAATAATATTCTGTAATAGAAGGATCAGAACAGACGTCTCATTGCCACTGATGTTTATTGGGCAGAAAACTAGAAGACTAGATTTTAAAATGTTTCTGAACCATAAACTCACTGAGATTTTGAACAAATTTTGATCTCAAATCCCACAGTTTTAATTTTCTAATTTTGAAGTGAATTGAATCATGATGTACAAGGAGAAATACAACAAGTTCTATAAGGAACATTACATAAAGTGCTAAATGATGCATAGTAATAGTGTAATATTAATTCACAACTCTAGTATGGTACTTGTATTTCAAATTTTCATAATGTCCATAATCTATAAAATTATAATCTATCAGCTACAGCTAAACCTGGACAGACAGGGCCTGGCAACAGTTATCCATGCCCTGGAAACCTCTTGCCTGGATTATTGCAATGCACTTTATATGGGGCTTTCCTTGAAGATGGTCTGGAAAATTCAATTGGTCCAGAACGGAGCAGCTAGACTGCTAATTAGACGATCATATAAAGTCAGTCCTCTACCATATTCACTGGCTTGCAACTGAAGTCTGGGCCCAATTCATTCATACTAAAAACAAGAATTGTGCTTGGAGTCTAAGAAAGGCAGATAATGGAGGGTGGAGTATCTTGACAAGCAGGCAGCGTCATCTTTGCTTTCCTGACAATATTCCACGCAGGCACAAAATGCAGTCACTACTTAAACTGAATCATAGGATTGGGGTGTTGGATTGAAAAAGGTGTAATCCATTAAATGCAGTTCTTTTGAAAGCCCCATTTTTAAATTATATAAGTAACACAGTACATCCACAGAATACATTCAGAACTTTTATCCCCAGGTGCCTACTTTAGCATGTATTTAGCATCAGCCTATGTCTGCCAGATTTCTACTTAAGGCCTTTGGATATCAAATAATATTTCCTACATCACTGTGTCGAAACAGACACCTTAAAAGCCCCAAAGTAAATCTTGAACACATGCTCAGAAGGATACTCTGGTTATTTCAGACAAACTAGCTATTCCTGTCCTGATAACACTGTCCTGTCCTACAGGCTTCACATATTGAAGATTAAACCAAAATTTCACTTGAAGAAGCAATCAACATGTTTTCAATTTATTTTCTTGGCTCATGGTTTTTGATTCTTTCCTTCTTTCTTCCAGGATCATAGTGGCTGTGAGTCTTTTGATTTAACTGTGGATTGCTTAGCGTTCGGGAAGCTTATGCTTTGCTCTGAGGCAGGTTTACTCAGAAACGAGTCTGGTGTTCAGTGGGGTTTACTTTCAAGCAGCATTTGTCACATGTGGGTGTTAAAAATTAACACAATAGTAGTGAAAATCGGGACAGTGAATTCAACCCTAACCACATAACCTGCCTGAATTAACACTGAGTGGAACTTTTCCTGCAATATATTAAGAAAGGATTGAGATGGCCAGGAGGGGCTGTTTACAGTTTTTTGGTATCAATTTCTCCTTTGCTGCAGCTTTCTACAACCCACCTCTATGAATGGGTGCGAGATAGAGGAAAAATAGCATATTACCTGTGCAGAAGAAGGATTGTGCAGCCTGGCATCCACTTCTTTCACCAAAACAGAAAGGAGAGGTATGCGCAAAAAACCAGCTGTGAAGCCAGAGAAGAACTCTGCCCTGGAAAGACAGTCCTCTGTTCTATGAGGAAGTAAGAAAATGACTGAGTTTCCCTTCACAGTCATTTATTACAGGACTTTGTCCTCAGCACAAATATCTTCCATTTCTACAGCTGCCATTTTAATCAATTACTGACTTCATGGTGCTTGATCAGGGGAGCTGTCAAATTCTGCTCTCATTTGCATCCTGAAGGAAATTTCTGGACTTAGGTGATCAACAATTACCTAAGGTGATCAACAATTTTGATGATGATGATGAGGAGGAGGAGGAGAAATAACATCTAGAGAGGGTTTCTGTAATGTAGTATTTATAGTAGAGGGACCTGGATTGGGACCTGGGATTGAGAATGGGGAGATTTGGTTTCTAGTCCTCACTTGGCCATGAACCTCACTGGGTGACTTGGACCAGTCAGCTAGACTGACTCTCAGCCTAGCCTACCTCACAGGGTTTCTGTGAGGACAAAATGGAGAGGAAGAGGACTATGTAAGCCACTTTGGACTCATGCATGATATAAATGGAATAATAAATAATAACTGTAGCTACATCCTAAAATGTATCAAAATAGTGAACATAAATGGAAATACCATCAATGCAATGTAATTACACAATAGCATGATAGTAAACAGGTTACTCAGCAGTAAGGCTGCAAACTCTTCCACAGCTGATTGTGTCAGGGGAAGCATGCATGGAAAGATGGGACTGAGAAAACATCTCGGGGACAATCCTGTGCAGGTTTAGGCAGAAAAATGGTCAGCAGCTGCTAACATGCCCCAGCTGGCTGGAGCACACTGCAGGTTGTAGGCCTCTTCTGTCTAAACTTGCACAAAATTGTGCCTAAAATCTCAGAACAATGGGGATCTTTTGATGACAATCGATTAATGATCTAGAGGGGGATTCCTTCAGTGCTAAATGCTCTGTTGCAAATGCTCCTGAAACAAACCTCAGGAGCACACAGCTCCCCCAAGGGGCTCCCTCTGACGCTGGCAGAGACCAGGCAGGGGCATACCAGGTGAAGTAATGTGCAATGACCATCACTGCTTCTATAATGATTCTATAGTACAAGGGATATTCTCTGTCAACACATTATACTTCACCTAATTTGGTAAGGGAATGTTATAACATTATTGCCTTAGTGCTTCTGCTGTGCCAAATGCGTTACCAATGATCCTCATAACAGCTTTGTGAGAGAACTGGTTAATAAGCTAATTCACACAGACAGGGAAGTTAAGAGGATCTGCAGGACCCCCATATCTGCTGTCTCAGTTACCACAGTTTCACTTAACCACAGTTGACCATCTGACCTCCACATCACAGGGTTAGGGGCATAAGACCTCCATGAATGTGGAAAAAGTACACATATCCATGAGTATCTGAAGCATCAAAGATGAAATAAATACAACAGAAACCTAATCTTGCAGAGGCAACTTAGGCTGGCTTATACAAGAGATGTGGGCAGTGAATTTCAAAATAGTGACAACAGATCAGGATTCACCCCCTGGAGCTCCTTCCACATAGAAAGGCTGTAAGTGGCTTCCTATCTTTCTCAACAATTTCCATTAGGACTTTGCTCTGTATTTTGTGTTTTCCCACCAGCACACAATAAGTTTATAATTCTTCCATCAGCTTCCCTTTTTCCTGCATTTTGCTTCGTCTCTTCGCCTTGTCCTTATCAAATACTACCACTGCTACTACCAAACCCTCAGAAAAAACAAAACCACAACAGGACTGTCAGATGCTTTTTTTAAGCCTCTTTTGAGTAGAATATGTTTAGGAAGAACACTGGTGAATCACTTGCTAGGTTGTGATGATCAGGTAACAATTCTGTGCATTGCACCTAAACTGACCATGCAATGGTGAGTGAGTAGAACAGATGTTGTAATATGCTTCTAAAGACAGAAAATAAACTATGAACAATTCAGGGGAATGCTTTTCTATAATATACTGCTTGAAAAAAAATCAGTATTAGGGTTCCAATGGTTTTAATAATTAGACATATTTTGCTTAGTTTAAATATTGTTCTTGTTTAATTGTAATATTTTTTAAATGCAGTGAGTTATTTATACTGCAAGCATTTACAAACCCACGTGTGGCAGATGCCTTCCTAGTACTACCACTTCTGAGATGAAACATTGGTTGTTGCTCTGTCCATCAAGTCATCTTCTGTGAAACATGTATCATCTGAAAATCGGGAAAGCAGGATTGGGATCAGCACTGGCCGTTCTTCAGCAGCACTCAGGACTCCAGGAGTGTGGCAGGATCCTTAAACAATTCTTTTCCTGTGCTTGTCCACCATGTTAATTTCCCACAATAGCCCTAAGTACAGTGTTGCCTTGGGCATTGTAGGAAATTAAGTAGGTGACTTCCAAAATCAACCAGTTGACGGGGGATGGCTAGAATGCTACCACTGCTGCTACAGTAAGCAGATGAAGGAAGACACTGGTGCTGGGGGCGGGGGGGGGGCACTAGAGGGCATTTTGTTTAGGACTCTGTGAAACCTGGAATCAGTAGCATGTGTCTCTTCAAAACTATTATTCATATGACATATTCATGGAGTTTTAGCTAATTAGTCAACTAATCAATGTATGCAATTGACAAAGATTTATTTAATCAAGGAATAGGCTGATTTAAATTCCATTCTAATGGTGGTTAGGTCTGGACTGGCACTTGGAAGTGCATTGGGTTTATTTCAGCTAATCACAGCCTCATAGACTAACCTGCCTAATAGGGTTGTTGTTGTCAGGGAAAAAATGGAGAGAACCCTCTAAGTCAATTGGGATACTTACAAGAGAAAGAAAGGTCGGGCATAAATGCAACTCTTCCTGTGTATGCATTTTCTAATTTCTTTAAGCTGTGGTGTTGTTGATTTTTATGTTGTATACATTTATGTTACAGTTAAATTTAAGTGATGTTTCCATTCTCATTATATTATAGCAATAGAGTGTTTTATTTTTTAAACTCTTATCATGCTGCAATGAGTGAGCATGGAAATTAGCCAGCACACTTCTCTCT